TCATGATAATAGTGCTTTTCATGAACTTTTAAGGAAAAATATAACGGTTAAGATAGATTTCTTAATTTAAAAGTAATAGTCGTTCAACTTTGGTTAAAAAAAATCTTACCTATTGAAAATTCCTTAGAAGAAAACATTAATAGTGACATAGATAAAGTTATTGTAGCGTAAAACCTTACATGTAACAAAATAAAAAATAAAAAAATGAAAACCACAATAAAATATCATTAGTTCCACAACGTGGATGAAGATGATGTAATTTTCACTATACTTGGTGTAATGACTGGTTATTATAGACGTTTTATGTGTAGGCGTTTTACACTTAAATGGATGGAAAAAAAATATGGAATTGATTTTCATTTCTAATCGACATATACACGTGTTTCAATCTTGACCCCGCCTGATGTCCGAATCATCTTTTACCCGCCTGATTTCGTGTGAACCATTTTTTTTTATTTTTAGTTCCATTTTCGTTTAGGATTCAGTATTTTTTTCATTAACGAAAGTGTATGTACCTATGAGATACTTACCTAAGTAAAAAGAGCTCGTTTTATTAGGGCCACTAATCTTCACTAATACACTTAATATATTTATTTTATATTGCAATTACGATGAGCCGAATCGTTTAATATTCTGTTCACTGCGAATCCTTGTACACAGTGCTTAGAGCATTTACGACGATGGTATATTATACTCTAAGAAACAGTGGTTAGGTCTGCACTGATCTATATATCAAAAATAACTCCATAAAATCGATTTTTGTGCGTGAAATTGCCTATTGTATATGGCTGGCTGGCTCATTACATTTGATTGACTCTGTGAAAATTTTGAAGACTTTAGCACCGTCTGGCACTTTTATCTACACACTTGAAAGAACCTCGAATTTGGGTCTATAGGTGAGCGCTAGTGTTTTTATTACATAGGTATTTTATTTATGTAACCTAACAAATAATAGCAACATAGATGCAGTTGTTCTCTTTCAAAATTCTACAAATTGTAAGGAACCCGAAATGAGGAAAGTCCGTTGTTGTTGTTAATTTTTTCAAGGTGGGCCAAATTATTTATTGTACCTCAGTAATTTTGAAGTGATAAATGAAGCTTTTGTCGTGAAGATGATGCTACAAAAAACCCTATGTTACCACTACACTGTGCTTATTACAATACTCTTTAAAATATGAACCTCTAAAGGTCCCGTGGACCCCACTTTAAGAAACCCTGTTCTTGAATAATAATCAAGCAGTAATTTACACAAGTTTATCATCAAATAAATATGAATCAACATACCAATATGATTGCGAAAGAAACTAAAAGTAAATATAAAACTGGTTTAAGCCAGACAATAACTGTAGATAAATAAATCAAAGTGTATCTAGAGTCGTCAACATTAGCGATTTAATGTCACGTTTAATCGGTTTTAACTATAAGCGTAGGTATTAAATGTTTTATCTCATGCTTCAGCAATTTTGAGCGTATGTCATTCGTAGGGTATATTCATTATAGCTGAGGATCTCGTTTTTTCCTCATGTAAGAGGCAATCTGAATTCGGTTTACATTCCTAGTGAAAATTGTGCTCAAAACATCTTACAGTATAGTATTCATATTGTCAATAGCAAACGATTCTATTAACAGGCATCATTTTCCAATACTGCTTTAGATCAAAATTATTACGAACATAAAGTTCTAGAATATTCACTCACTCGATAAAGTTAGTGCTATTATTACTCGTTCCTTATATTATTGTAAGATAACTCTATCCTAAAGTTATACTTAGATCAAGCGCAAGAGTAAAAGACCACCACAATATAAAATAAAATCCAAAATGAAATCATTACAATCTGAAAAAGAAAATACAAATAGTTTTTCATAGAAAATAAACCTACTTGATAAAAACTAGTCTACTAAACTTATGAAATAATAATTATCCTTTATGGAAACTTTAGGCACGGACATTGCGAAAATAACAGTGTTCCTCTATCTATGACTACGCATCAAATACACCCTGAATTGTGAGTTGGGTACCTGATCATTTAAAAATTGATAAGTAGAGTTACGAAAATTAACTGTAAATGGGAGATGGGGAACCCACAATTAAAAGTCAGTTTTGAAGTTATGTTTTTATTTTTTTAAGCATTTAACTGCTAGATGTTTAAATCTAAAGAAAAGTTTTACTAGAAATAAATCCACGCGGACCAGGCAGCGGACGGGACTCGAACCCGCACCCTTCGCAAGTATAGCGTAATTGGTCAGGGCATTGGCCCTGCGAATGCACTGACCAATTACGCTACCACGGCCCTGATGGCCGCGTCGAAAATTTCCTAGCCTTAAGCTGCAAGGCAGCGCCATCTCCTCGCAATGTAGGTAACCAGTAGTGCATTCGTCCGGATTGCGAAGGGTGCGGGTTCGAGTCCCGTCCGCTGCCTGGTCCGCGTGGATTTTTTTCTAGTAAAACTTTTCTTTAGAACTAGAATTACTTAGAACGTCCTCCTTTTTATTATATTCTTAACCATTTATTTCTTAAAAATAAAAAGGAGGCGGAGGAGGAGTAACCGAACGGATCCGCCCGCTGTCTGCAACCTGGACTGAGTGGATTATTTTAATAGTAAAATTTTCTTTAGATATAATCTCCTCCTATTTGTTTGAAGTTCTTATAAAAAAACAAAATACACGACAAACGCAGAACCTCCTAATTTTTTGTTTGCAGTAGGTTATACGAATGCTATATAGTCGGCGTCTTGTCATGTAAAGTTTTGTGTTGCTAGTAGATTCTATTGTGGAAATTGTATTAATGGATATGAGTGAATATAATCGATAATTAATCTTACCTAATCATGTCAACAGGACAAGGGTTAAAGATTCCTACCGACACGTGTCTTGGTTGTTTCATGCGTATTATAAAGACATAATCAAAATTATTTAATTATCATCAAAATAACACATCTATTGCGTTATAGATTTGCTTTTATTTTTCAGGTAGTTTAAACATTGCATACTTGTGAATTCCTTGAGACAGAACCGCATTTCCCGATTGCATATCCTATATAATTAAAAACAATATTTTAACACAAAATTATGTTATTTTTAACTGATTACCCAAATACTGAGGAATACGTCTTAATCTTTTTTTAACCGACTTCAAAAACGAGGAGGCTCTCAATTCGGTAAGATTTTTTTATGTATTTTCCCAGATTACTTAAAAATGGGTAGACCGATTTTTAAATATATAATATATATATATAGAAAATTCTTTTGCAATCTGGTGAAGCGGAACTGATGATGAAGACCACCAGAACTAATCAATAATAACTATAACATAAACTGAAATGCGTTACGATTATTTAATTTGGTTGTGAAACAATTTACGTTGTGTGATGTGAAGCCTCCTTGTGTTATAAGCGGGAATTTAAGAAAGATTTTTCGTGTTTGTATGTTTTTGTGAAACACATATGAATCCTGAAAATACTACACTCTTTTTTGGGACAGTCGTGTGATTTCTTACAAGTTACAGAAATATTACTAAATTGAGATACTGGGCTAGGTAAGTTACAGACATACAATAGCGTAAGCGTATCTTTTATAAAATAATTCTTGTCCCAATTCAGGGAAAATATACTTAATTGTTGAGAAGTTCTCCTGGTAATTTACTATCAGTATAAATGTATCGCATCACGTGATATAGTTATTATTTATTAGTTTCGGTAGGTATCTGTGGTCTTCATCATCAAAACCCTTAGTACGAGTTTTACAATTACGAAAACTATGATAGTTTTTTGAGCTCGCTCTCTTATTAAGGGTACTGATTTTATTGTTTTCGTTTCAATACAAATAACCAGCGTTTAAATTCTATCATTGAATCATTTGCGTCTTCTTAAATTTTAAGTATATTTGGTTACTTTTCACCAAAATGGACATAGAAACATAATTTACAATTACGAAAACTATGACAGTTTTCGCGAGCTCAAACTCGTACTAAGGGTACAGTTCCACTTTCCGAAAGTAAAATGAACGTGTTACTATTTAAATATATAAATTACTATACATGTGCCTATAAGATTTTAAGAGTTCCTTCGATTTCTCTAGGATCCAATCATTACATCCCGACCTGGTGACTAAGGGACTAACTGGGAAGTATACCCTTTCAAATAATTAAGAATTTCCAAATCGGTCTACTCGTTTTTAAGTAATCGGTCAAAATAATAAAAAAAATGTTATCGAATTGAGAAACTCCTCGTTTTTGAAGTCGGTTAAAAGGAGATTTCGACTAATTGAGAACCACCTTCGTTTTTGGGAAGTTGGTTAAAAATGACAAATTTGTCTTACAATATAGCTAAGCAGGTACTAACTGCATTTCTCTACAAGTTGATCGAAGGGTATCGGATCTAAATATTCATTAATGATGGGAAATTGTCAATAACTTTATTGCATAATAAAGCTAGTGTGAGCAATCAATTCAAAGTATCTACCTAGTATTATTATTTTAATGTCATAATCTGATGAAATAGGTGGGTACCTACTACCCAGATAGGTATTGGATGAATGGAGAATTATTGTTTTACCAATATGTTCTTACAAAAAAATGATACATTTTTCACATATTAAAAGTGGTTCCAGTACTAATTTTTATAATAACATCAACTTATCGATGGCGGCTGTAGTCGACGGCTGACGTAAAATATCGAAAACTAAGCAAAGTAAAACGGTAAACCCCAACGAAAGCCAGTGGTCTTGTATGTGATTTTTTCAGTTCTTTTACTTAGAATTTATTCGTTATACCTAAAATAATAACAAGAATCAAAAACCCATAATATTCATCTTTACATATTTTTACTACTTATCTTATATTATAAGGCACCAATGTGTTAGCGATGTGTCTTAAAGTCTTAACGAAGTACGAAATCTGATAAAATTCAGATTTGTTTTACCCAATGCCCAATACGATACCGATAAATTAATTTATAATCTCAAGATAACTCATTGATTGTGAACATAGATAATTTGTAAACATTTCGCGTTAGCATAGTAAGCCCGAAGACTAAGAGAAAATAACAAGACAAAGGCTTGTTATGATTTCGTCTCGTGCCGGAATGTTTGTGCATGTGCAGTTTCCAAACATTAATCAGCAAATACTGTGGAAGTGATCAGATGACCTGCGCTCAAATAACAGCTACCGAGCTCTGAGTTGTGTGCATTTTAACCTTTGCCTTGTGTATTTCTTCCATTATGTACTCTAATAGTGCGATGTTTATAGAGCATAATGTACGGATTTGATATCTTATTTGTCATCGTGCTTTGGTGGCCAACAAATCTTCAAGGAAGTGGGGTACGTATATCTTATTAATAATGAAATATAATAGGAAAAATGACGTCAAATTGAAAGTGTTATCTTCAGACACAAATACCTAAATAATCCGAAAAAAATTGCCACAGATAAGAAAAGCGTTTTTCCTGAAACTATTTCGGCTAAGTGCTGCTAAGAATTTATGGAATTTTAATGTTATGAAATTTCGTAAGTTAAAACGTGGACGACTAGAGCCAGCTGACCACTAACTGAAGTAGCTCATGCAAACCTCATTGGGAGAGAGGTACTATTGCAAGAGATTAGATACAGTTCCTATTGGCAATTCAGGCTAACTGGTGAATTGGATAAGCAAGTTTCCACTATCATAGATATTTAAGACACCTTTTTAGGATTACTGCAGACTACTACTTCCGGACTCATTTTTATTCTTTCACCATAGCAAAAAAATATCGTCGTCGTATTGATTGGTGCAAAGGAGATTGCTTAAATTGGCCCAAACGCACAAAAAATATTGACATACACGGTAATTCTTGGCGTAATTTATAATTTAATTTACAATCATTAGATTTCAACGGACACCTTTGTATAATATATTAACTTTAAAAAAGACTTTTAATTTTACCGGTTTGGAAAACATACGGATCAATTTTAAATGGCTATGGGTGTAGTAACATTCAGTCAAAGACTGATCGAAGTTGTTTATATAACATAAAAACAAATCTATTTTGTAAAGATAAATCATTTTTTTTTATTACACTATGGTATTAATATCCACAAATGTGCTCAGACAATTATTATAGATGGTAGGCGACATTATAAAGTCTATTGCCATACATTTTTCGCCAAACACCTCCATTAACACATTATAATCTGCATATACTCGTATGTTAGTCTTTAAGGTATCTATCTATGGGCCTACGTTGCCTGACTATAAATTAATAAATAAATAAAATTATAAGGTGTGATACACTAAATATCTAAAATATGTTTGTATTAAAAACATAACAAAAATAATGAAGCTACTGAATATATGGCTATAAAACCTAAATCTCTTAGCTTTCTTTGGTTAACGAGATTTTAAAAATTCTCTCTAATCTGTGGCTCATTCACAATCATCACACAGTTTCTGTCACAGAGTACCTTATTATAACCGGAAATGCATAGATGACACCTGATTTTATAAGTTACTCTTATGCATTAACTTTAAAAACAGGCAACTATCTGTTAATGTACATGCTCTATATACGTGAATCTAATCCATAATTTCGGTACTTGGCTTGATTTCTCTAGTTTACTATATAACTTATTTGTTTTTTTATTATTTTAATATGTTCAGTGTATATGGTTTATTGAAGTTCTCAGGGGTGTCCGTCAATAATATTCGTTTCTACAGTAATATATATATAATTTCGAATCTAGGAAACAATTTTTCATGATTATTGGTCTTTAGGCCAAACATGTATGGAAGCTGAGCAATCTCCTTTATGAAAAAAGTTCGAATGTGGGTTTACGTAAATGGAAACGGTACCCTAAGCACGAATCCTTATCGAATTCGAATAGTTTGCGAGTGCGCAATGTAATTTTTTATGAAAACTTGAACAGCAGCACCACTACGGACGTAACGAGAACTAAAAATCAGTACATATTTGTTGGATCTTCTGCCACGATCTTATCACGAAGCAGCAATCTACGCAATGGTAGTTTAAAGAGGACGAGTAGCATTAATACATCGGAATATCGTAGAGCAGTTACTAGCAAATTATAATTTTCTATGTTTAAGTTTTTAGCCAGGTTGAAAAGCGAGCGCCTGTAGCATTCTTTTCATCAACAAAAACGCCCGCTCACTCAACTACTACAACCAATAACTACTGTTAAAAAACTTCAAAACGAACTTTTAATTGTGGGTTGGTTGGTTACTAATCTTGGAAAAATCTCCCATTTACAGTTAATTTTCGTAACTCTACTTATCAAATTCTAAATTCTTTATTTTTTTAAGCCAACTTATTTTGACTTATTCAGTTTTTTTTATAAATATTATGTATTAATAAGCAATACACGTATGATTTATGAATGATAGTCTGGGCCTGGTGATCTGTTAGTACAGGTAGCTATTCGTAGTTACCTTTTACGGACACCGGTGTCCCACATAATAGGTTTATGTTTGGAATACTTTCTAAGGTCAGGCGATATTTTACATCTGAGCAGCTCCTTAACCTTTACTGAGCCCAAGTTCGCTCCTGGTTGGAGTACTGTTGTCACCTTTGGGACGGATCGGCTCGGTATCAGCTGGATGCACTGGACTCGGTGGAACACCGTGCGAAGAGACTCATAGGCAATGACGCTCTCGTTGAGGCTAATCTCCAGAGCCTTGACCACCGAAGACGTGTAGCTTGCCTCTCGGTATTTTATCGGTTACGTTTCGGAGAGTTTGCGGAGGTATTGCATAATTTGATACCCCTTTCCACCACCGGACGACCAGGCGCGGCTTTAACCCTGTTGTTGTTGTAGTTCCTCCCTTGCGCACAAAGTGATTTGCTTCTGCTTTCATTATGGGAACGGCTAGGGAGTGGAACTCCTTGCCGAGGTCTATTTTCCCGGACTGGACTGGACTGGACTGGACTGGACTATAATCTGGACATCTTCAAGGCCAGAGTCAATGGGGGTTATTCGCTATCCGACCGTTGAAGAGGACACAAGAGAAGATCTTTTACAAAAAAAAAACACCTTGAAGATGGATACCACTGCTGATGAAGCCGCTCAAGTGATTGCACTACTGCAATCAGGGATGCGGCAGTGTGAACAACAACTGACCTTGAGCCGGTTTTCGGTTCGAAGAGTATACCAGCGGTTCCTGTACACCACAGGCCACGCCGGAAGCATGGGTCTGGTAGTCGTTGCTGTACCTCGGAGAGAGGCGACCGATTCATCGTATCGACATCGCTAAGAAATCGGGTCCAAAATTGATCGCAGATCATTGGCGAGCCCGCTTGCAGTTTGCCCGCGACCTATTCTAAGACGAGACGAGAGTGTGCCTTTTCTGCAACGATAGACGCAGAAGAGTGTACAGAAGAATGGGGGAACGTTTCGCCCAAGCTTGCATCCAGGAGGCGGTGGAATACGGGGGCGGTTCCTGTATGTTTTGGGGCGGTATGTCGGCTAACGGCAAAACCGGCCTTGTAAGCGTCTCCTGGACTGGAGGTGCTACCGGGCAAGGGTCGCTGACTGTTCACCGGTACGTTACAGAGATCCTGGAAGAGCATGCGGTCCCCTATGCCGGTTTTGTTGGCGAGGGGTTCACATTAATGCACGATAACGCTCGTGATAACATTGCATTAATTGTCTACCTTCAAGAGGTTGGGATCTCTGTCATGCAGTGGCCAGCGAAAAGTCCAGACCTGAACCTGATAGAGCAACTCTGGGACCATTTGAAACGCAAGGTTCGGTTTCGTGATCCCGCTCTCGGGACTCTCCAGGAGCTCAGGAGCTCGAAGTGGCCGTTAGTTAGGAATGGGCCAGTATCCCTCAGGAAAAGCTCCTAAAATTGGTAAGATCCATGAGGGACCGTATGGAAGCCGTCATCGGGTCAAGGAAGCGGTAACTTTTTTTATGTTATTAATCTGTCAAGGCTTAATAAAAAGAGATACAGTTTTGTAAACTGTATTTCTTTTTGCACTGTTCTAATAAAAAATATTTGAATTATTTTTTTAAGTTTATTTAATGGGCTTTCAAATGACACCAATATTGGTGAGGGTAAATGCGCGTGTTAAGGGTTAAAATAACGCTTGAAAGTTATTTTCGCGGAGGTACGATTTTTTTGACGCCTAATGTATAAGGTAATTGAATTGGCCGCGCTTATTATTATCAGTGTGCCACTCTTTTCACTTGAAAAAATGTAGGGGAAACTGTTTTTTATTCCAAGAGTTCCAATGATTGGATGGTTTCCTCTATTTTTATTAAATCAGCAAAGTTTTGATTTCAGGTGAACGCTAACGAGTACTTTGTTAATGATATTCTCAATCCTGTGAATACTGAGTTTGACTTATGGCAGCAGCAGCGCAACGCAAGGGTTGCTATCCGGACCAATGAGCAGGTTGAATGTGAACGACCCGATATCTATTTCTGCGAGGTAATTTGACCTTCATCATTGCTTAAGATGTCTAGTCTAGACTCAAATTTATCGAGAATATTCTGTATATAACATTATCGGAATTAACGTTTAAGTTTAATAGTTCAATTAGCTTTAAAGTATTTTCTGTTTACGGGTGTATGGATTTAAAAAGTACCTACTTAGTTCTATTGCTAAACGAGTCTAGAGAATCTAGATCAAAATTGTTGTGAATTTTATACAGATTCACGCCATAATTATGTACTATCAGCCAATTTGATTCCTTACTCCTGACCCACTAAGCTCATTTTCTTAAACCATTCCACTATTTCAAAACAATAAGGTAGAATGTACGATCCCTGGAAACTAACTTTTTATTTTCTGAACAACCATTATTTGACGTAATAGATTTTGCCACCTCCCTTTGACATATTTTAATTAGATACAATAACAATATTTGGAGTTTTGCCCAAAGTCTACGGATTTGTCTACAAGTTCCACAATGTTTTTCAAAATTTCAAGAAATCATAATTTTCTATTAAAATGAATATTTTAAAAGTGGTTTCAAAATTCCTACTAATATTCCAATTTCATTTCATTTAAAAGATGATCCATTGTATTGAAAAAAAAAGATCTAAATTCTGTGTCTAAAAATGTTTGATCCATATTAACACAGTTACCTTGTTGTTAGAAGGTGCTAACTGCAATTATGCATTCTTTATAAAGGAAAACTTGCCTGTTCTGACTGTTCCGAGTGAATTGAGTGAAAAAAATCTGTGAAAAAAGTGGGTCAGGAATCAATTTGTTCGATACTTCATAAAGTTAAAGTGCAAAACAGGTGTATTATAGATAACAAAATAAACAACAATATCTATAGTTCCATTAACTTTATTATCAATGATGATTATTTAAATCGAAGTTGATGTTTTGAAAAGCAGAGATTTTTTTATTGGATAGTTTAGACTTATGTACGCAGTTCTCCGTTAATTCGCTATCACAATGAAAACATAAATAACTGAGGAAAGGAAGAAAATTTACTAAAAGTCTCAACTCGAACCTCCTTTTTAGTAAACGAGCAAAAAGCTTAGACTAGTTACCTCATGTTTTGTTCATATCACTCCAGTGCCATTTGTAATTCATTGAATAGAGACAAAACATAGAGTAACTAATCCAAGCTTATTCCTCGTTGAAGGTTTTAAAAAGGTGAAAATATTACAAAATATATTTTTAATATAGGTTACACTTCACAGGAACAACCGAACCTAATCGATGTGGACGTGATTAAAACGTGCAACTTTCGCAATGTACGTTTCCACGAACAGGTGTACAGATGGGTGGCCGGGCGTGGCTGCTTGCTCTTCACCCCTGACTTCCTGTACGCGGCCGGCTTCAACAACCTCAACTTGAACACTTCATGCTTCTACAGAAACCTCCGTGCGCCTTGCTTGGAACTCGTGAGTAGTGAGAAGATTTAGAAAAACATAGTTTACACGAAGTTTTCCTGTTTTTTTTACATCTACATTATGCAAAATCCGCACCTAAGATCCGCACTGTTAGCTGATACATGGCTTAGGGAATATGCGGCTAGGCAGCTTAAAATAACAGCGCTGGCTAATTGTTTATAGGAAACTCGATTTAAAGATCAAGTCAGTGCTAGTTAGCTGCAAGTCGCGTTGAATTTTCAAGATGCCAGATCTTGACCCTTTACTGTTTGTAAGTTGACAATATTTAAGAATAATGTTGTTAACTGAGTCTTCTCTAAAGTGAAAAATATTTCCATAGAGTGGGCGCTTCAAGTCGAGAGGAAAATCACTATATAAGTACTTGAATAATTTCTAAATTTTGTTATCAATAAATAATGTTACAAAGGTATGTACTATGCCAGTGGTTCTCAAACTTTTTAAATGACGGAACCCTTTTGGGAAGCAAAATACTTGATGGAACCCTACAATAAAACAATTATTTTTATAAGTGTATTCTATATTAATCAGCATAATAAAAGTACAATGTATCCGTTACTAATTATTATTTACTTCACCACTTGGTAAGGACAATAATAGAAAACATTAAAAAAGAAAAAATCTAACTAGTGGGAGGTATGAAACTGTTTTTTATTTTTCATCAATTGCTTGATATCAGGTTTGATGGAAGAAAGTTGGAGTCTCATATCAGCTTCGGCGTCCAGTCTATTGCGATATTTTGTTTTCGTGGCTGCGTAGGTAGAGAATCCTGTTTCGCACAAATATGTAGTTGGGAACGGGAGAAGAATATCCAGAGCCATTTGGCCAAGCATTGCATATTCATCTTGGATTCTGCACCAAAAATCATTAAGAGGCGTCGTTTTGAACAATGACTCCATACTTGTGTCTGATGACATTTCTAAAAGAGATTCATATATCTCATTTGACATGTTTTCAGGCTTTTCCAAGTTGGGTAAAAAAGGATTATGAATCCAGGAGTTCACTTTAATTTTTGTATTGTGTTCTTCGGGAAAATACTTTTCAAAAGATGCGCGCATCGAACTGAGATATTGGACCAATTCTTCAAACACATTATCTTCAAACATTTCTGAGTCGTTTTCGCTAACAAACTCAGTGAGTAACGTAAAACTTTCTATTTCTTTCTTACCAATGCAAATGATCCAAAAATCTAATTTTCTTTTAAAAGTAGTTATTTTATTATAGGCCTGAAACACTGTTGTCTGTTTACCTTGCAATGATAAATTTAATTCGTTAAGTTTTTGAAAGATATCCGCCATAAAAGACAATCGGAACAACCAAGTTTTATCATACAAACGGTCCTTCAAATTAAAAGAAGTATCTGCTGAAAGAAACATTTGTAACTCGGCTCTAAGTTCAAATAGCCTTGTTAAAGTTTTTCCCCGAGACAGCCATCGCACTTCTGTATGGAGCAGCAGTGTTTTATGTTTGCTGCCATAATCTTCACACAATAATGAGAACAATCGGGATTGTAGTGGTCGTGATTTGATAAAATTAATTATTTTTACCGCTTCATCCATAACTAATTTTAGATTAGACGGCATTTGCTTCATCGCAAGTGCTTGTCTATGCAGAATACAATGACTGGAACTACAATTAGGCGCTTTATTTTTCATTCGTGACACTGCTCCTGCTGTTTTACCTGTCATCGCCTTGGCCCCATCTGTACAAATGTCAATGCAATTGTTCCAACTGAGATTATGTTCTTCAAAAAATATATTTATTTTATTAAAAATTTCTTCCCCGGTAGTGTTTGTAAGCAGCGATGAACACATAAGCATGTCTTCTTCAAAAGAACTTTTATATGGATATCTCACAATAACCAGCAGGATAGCCAAACCAGCGACATCAGTCGACTCGTCCATTTGCAAAGCGAATCGTGTATTTTGTAGACGTGTAACTAGTTCTTGTTTGACGTAGCTTGCCAGATCATGGATTCGTCGTGAAACAGTATCGTTTGATAGCGGAACAGTAGAAAGATGCTTTGCAGATTTTTCATCAAGCATACATTTTGTTATGTCTAATACACATGGTTTTATTAATTTCTCAGCGATAGTGTGCGCTTCACCTGCTTGTGCAATGCGATAGCTAACTAAGTATGATGCCTCCGTGGCCTTTTCGTTGGTAGTTTGTGTTACATGCATCATATTTTTTTGACTTTCTAATAACTGATCTTTTTTGCGAACAAAAAATTCTTTATTCTTGTCTTTAGTCTCGGGGTGTACGGTTTCTAAATGTCGACGCAATTTGGCAGGTGCCATGGAACTATTAGGAAGCAGTTTACTACAGAGCATGCAGAGAGGTGAGCCGTTGGAATCAACAAATCCGAAACTGATATAAGATTCATCATACTTCCTTTTTTTCGTCTTTGAAACCGTCGAGCTTGACGTCGTGGCACTCGTGGCATCATCTTCTGGATCGGTGATTGCTAAATTCTCCGCGCGCATTGCTTTTGAACATTCAGCGTCATTAGAAGATGTTGTTGGAACACGTTTAACACCTTTAAGCCAACGTTCCATTCTTCTTTATTTATAATGTTACAAGTCAGGATAGTGGGGTTTAAATAATGCACAATCGTTACTGCGTATAAGAGACTAAATTTAGAACCTACAGGGAAGAAATGTATAAAACTGAGACAACAGAATACAGCAGGCAGTAAAACAATGAACACCAGTTTCTCGCTAGCGAGCTTGTAAGTAGGTAGTAACTTATCGCTCCGAACGCTAATCATCAACTGACGACGCCAACGCGCGATCGCCGCTTTTATACTTAGTCCTAGACTCGATCTCAAATATTCTCGAAAATACTCGAGTCGGCACCTTTGATAAACAAAAAGCAAAAATAAAAACAGAAATTTAAAAATAGCGTTGTAAACAATATCGACTTTATCCTTTGAAGTTAGAGACGAAAGTCGCTAGTTGACAACTATAGCGTCTAATTCAGAGGCGGCTTTTATCAAAGAGACTGAGCGCTTACAAGTATACTACCCGCTCGTTTTAAGTTTGCCGCTGGCGATAGGTATGAGTGTATGACGTTCGAAATTTTTTATTTAATTGTAACAATAAAAATTGTGTACGTTAGATATTTGGGTAAAACTATGACACATTATAAGTTTTGTTGTCACGTGGGGGAGGGTACGCGCATTCCACAGACCGGCAAACTTAGAGCGAACGCGTTGTACAAGTATAAAATTGTTGAGACCAAACTTATGAGATATTGTACCAGCTAATGTAACACAAGCTTATACAAATACAAATAAATAAATAAATAACATTCATAGCGTTTTGTCTCCGCGCGGCCGCGGAGTCCGCACAGCCGCGGAGCGACCAGAGAGAGGTGTTTTGATTTTTTTATTTCTAAATTCTTGCGGAACCCCGACAGAGGTATCACGGAACCCTAGGGTTCCGCGGAACACACTTAGAGTATAGCTGTACTATGCGATTCAAATAAGAATAGGAAAGCCAATGACCTCCATCTGTCAAATGTCGTTTGAAAAGTACGGTTTGCAAAAAAATCGTGGAATACTTTTTTTAGCACTAAGCTACTTAATCTTAGAATTAATACTATACATTTATAAACAAAAGAATGAAATAAATCGTATGTAACGTATAGAAAATGAGTACTAGAAAAGTGATGTGTTAGTTTTATTATAAACTAGCGGCCCGCCCTCGATTCGCTTCGGTGTAGAGCTGCAGTGTAGACTACAGTTTTTGTTCTCAGGCTTCTATTATACACAATGACATTCATCTATGATTCTTCTTATACCTGAATGCAAAGTCTCAGCCCGATCGGTTTAAAATTGACAAAGTTTCATACAAACTTTTATTCCCTATTTTATCCCCTTGGGGGTAGAATTGATCAAAGTCCTTTCTTAGCGTCATAACATCTACCTGCATGCCAAATTTCAGCCCGATCCGTCCAGTGGTTTGGGCTGTGCGTTGATAGATCACTATGTCCGTCAGTCAGTCACCTTTGAGTTTTATATATATAGATACAGGTAAATAAAGATCCTTTTTATTTTAAATAAAGTTGTCGTTTTAAAACCTACAATAATCGATATTTTATTTTATAGCTAAAAGTAGCAGTGATGATGATGACTACTCCGACGGTAGTGCATAGATGAACGGAATTAAAGAGCTAGATTCTGATTACTGTTGTTTCTCACTCAGTCTTAATATTATTATTATTTTATTTATTAAGACTGAGTGACAAAAAGCATTAAAAAATATTTTTATTATTAAAAATCTGATATATTTTCTCTCTTGGTAAATAAGTACTAAATAAATTTAAAAAATCAAAAATCCCGACTGCTTAATTATTCTTCAAATAAAAACTGAAAAGAAAAAAACAAGTCCAGTAGTCTATAATTCTGTTAATAAGAAACAAAGCTACTTTAACAATCGGGACCCATTAGATATTCAAGAATACATAATATTTTTCAACAGTGGGTCCCGACTGTTAAAGTAGCTTTGTTCCTTATTAACAGAATTATAGACTACTGGACTTGTTTTTTTCTTTTCAGTTTTTATTTGAAGAATAATTAAGCAGTCGGGTTTTTTGATTTTTTAAATTTACCTTTTTTATTTCACACTTTTTAGTTAGTATTTTAAGATAGGTATATACCGTAGTCTTGTTACTTCAGTAAGGAAATTAATATGGCGGGAATTATTAAGTACCTTGCGTCGGTCTAAAAGATTGATTTATTAAGACATATATTATAAGACCAGCGGGGTCAAGGCTACAGATGGGCCTCAATTTTCGCAAAAAAGTGTGAAGTTAAATCAAGTCGTTACATAAATATCTGTAATGTATGTAAATTTTATAGTAAACTAGCACTTACTCAAAAAGTCATCTTTTGTTTATGTTTTTTTAATAGTTTAGCAGTAAATATAAAATTCATTTACTTTTATTCGTCGACTATTTAAAAATGGCAGTGGCTGCATTGTTATGTCAATGCCGGACGTCTGAGATTGTAATATACACAAATTCAGTGTCAGTCCCTAGTCTCATAATTTGATATACCTACATAATTCACAGAAACCCAATATGTAGATGCCAGAAGTTAACTTCAAATGTTTTTAATCACACTATATACAATACCAATCAATGACGTTTATGTCGCAGGTTGAAGAAAGAAGTAATTCCCGTCTGTTGTTTTGGACAATGGTGGCAACTGCCTTAGATCACTAAATTAAATAATTATGCAATCACCAAAGCAAAGTTTATAATATTTGATTAAACTAAAGGCGCATAATAAAATTTTCATAACGTTAGGTAGAGCACCATAGCAATCTCATTTATTATCAATTTATAGTTCTCTTTGTAGTTTTCTTTTAAAGCGTTCACATTTAATAGGTCAAAGACTTTGTGTTCGACCCTTTTTTATTGGTAGTGTAAAGCTCGAATGAAGAGTACTCCCAGTAGTGCAATCATGGCAATTATTTTCCAAATTTTGTTTTTGTTATAAAAATACCGAATAACGTATCACTGTTTAGCACAAATGCTAAGTAACTTTTACAAATATAATCAAATAAACCTATTACTTACTTTATTTTAAAATCTTTTTCAGCAATTAAATACTTATCTTATCCTAACTATCTATACTAATATTATAAAGAGGCAAGATTTGTATGTTTGTAACAAAGAATCTGTCAAACTACTGAACCGGTTTCAAATATTAATTCATCATAAGGTAGCTACATTATTTATTATAACATTTTTCTTTATTTAAATGCATTTTGTCCGAGTGACATAGGCTATATTTTATCCCGATAAATAAATTTCGCGCGTACAATGCCCGGGTGGATCACTAGTAAGTATAATATAATATTATAGCTGCGAAAGTGAGTTTGTTTGTTGCGCTTCCGTGCCCTAATAGCTAAATAGAATATAATGAATTCGCATATAGAAGTAGATGGGAACTTGGTTCTTAGCTACAACATCGCAATACTTATAGGCGTAGGGTGATGAAAGGGGTGATTTACCTATAAAAATCTACATTATTTACTTTGAATTTTGCAGAATTATTACAAAACCAATATTATCGCGAGCTGATTAATAAATACAGGGATCCAATAAGAATGTACTTACTAGCGAAAAATGGGTTATTTGTCATTATATTAAGTAAACCTTTTTTGTAACATTAAGTAATATCGTTAAAAAAATGAAAAACAGTAAAATTCTGAGTTTTTCATTAAAATTCAATAATCATAAATACCTATTATGATAATATATTTTTCATCATTTAATAAGAAGGAACTGTATCACAGATTTAATGTTAGTACTTCGTATAGGATCAGATACTGCGAATACCCCATTTTTTTTTTCTTATACATAGTACAACGCGTTATCACTTTGTCATCGTTGTAACTTTTTAAATATTTGTCGAAATGACATACTGTAAAAAGCAAATTTTATCGTCTTTAAATATCAAAAGCGATTAAAGTATTTGTTTTGATAAAAAAATATTTGTTAATACAAAATGTGCATTTTGGAAATAGATATCAAATAATATTTTAGTTTTGATTCACTATTTTAGCGATAATGACTTACACATTAAAAATAGATATATGGTGTCACGGACTTTTTTTTAGAACTATTTAAGAGATACATTTCCACTCTACATTACATTCATGTAACTTTTATTGTTTTTGCAGTGCAGGCCAAAATGGCTCGCAGATGGGACATTTTTTCCGTCTTATGTGACACTTATTGCTATATATTGGCCAATTCACTCAATAACTACATAAATTATTATATATATGTAATTATCATATATGAGCTATATTACTGTTAAGTTTTATTAAAATCCATTCAGTATTTTTTAGGTGAAAGAGTAACAAAGATCCATACAAACGTAAGATTGAAATTAAAAGCGTAAGTGGTTAATATACAATTTTAAAGCGTTGTAGATCCTAAACAATCATATAAAATGAAAAATGGTGTTAGAAACCTAAATATGATTTTCGATTATCTAGACAGTGATACCCCACTCGACATATTTTGTCGACTTTTTTTTTACTTCGTCACAATATGGCGCCTAATTTTGCCCATATTGAATTTTGATTACTATCATATCTTTAGTAGCACTCCCATGATTAAGACGAATCGATTGATGTATGAATCATCAAAATCGGTCCAGGCGTTTGGTCTCTAGTGTGCCACAAAGGCACAAACATACATATATAGACTGTTAAACACATAACCCTGTCTGCGCGTCGCGCTTCGCGCTCTTGCATTGCGCAGCCGGGTAAAAACTACTAAAGAAAAACTTTTTTGCTCACCCTACCAAACCTACCTACCAGTCGTTCCTATTCTTAGTTGAATCGCACTATATATATCTGTATTTAAGGATTCAACAAATTGAGAACGCCCTCATTTTTGGAAGTCGCTGTGGTTAAAAATGTTGATCATATATATTGTTCTGTCAGCCTAAGGAAGACGGGACATGTGGATGTTACCCCTTCGACCCTGGCTTGGAGGAAGTGACGGCGGCGGTCAATCAAGCGTTGATCCCGTCAGCTCACGGCAGGTGGGAGAGGTGCTTTCAAGCCGCTTCCGATTGCTGCACCAATTACATGCGTGCTTCTGACTACAATAGTACCGAAGGTTTCTGTATACTCAATAAATATATTCCACAATTTTAGGATTTTAGGAAATAGTGAGCATGTATTAAAATAGTTAGATGATTTTTTAACGCCATTAGGTACTCTTATAAAGGCTCTCGGAAAATTATATAGGGTGTTACCTGACCAATCAATTGATCAATAGTTTCTACCAGACCCATCGATCGATTGACTATTCAGGGCCAGATTTAGAGGTGTGGAGCCCCTGCGGCAAGGAAGAAGTGGAATCTAACGGGGGATTATTTGCACTCCATACCTCCCCCGATTAGTGATCTGTCTAAATTTGGCTTTTATCTATGTTGTGGGGGCTCCTCGCTTGTGAAGGTCCCTGGGACACAGCTCCGCCTACCCTGCGACTATCGATCGATGGTAGAATGGATTAGTCGACTACTTGCGACGTTGATTACTTGCGACCATGTTTGTATTTGCTCCATGGCCGCGAACATTCCCCATTTTAACGATCAACTTCGATCGACGTTGACCGATGCTAATCTACCCCTTAAGTTCTGTTCGTCCCCAAAGTAGGTAACACCATTAGCCCAACCGCACATTGAGTCAATAGTCACTGCCACTAAATAGAACCACAAGCTGCGGACGAGTTTTTCATTCACTTACACTTCGAGCTCGCTACTTTTGGCAGCATTTTGTCGCACACATCGCGCGCACACTCCACAGTACCACGATGAATTGTATGCCGATGGTTTTAAATTCGACCACGTTTTCTACTTCTAATTATTAATCAACAACAATGAAATTAATAGTAATTTCACAAACCTTTCGACGGAAATTAACGGAATTCAACCGCCATTAACCACTACCGGCTGCGATTGGGGGCTGCATCTAGTGGCTTGACTGGCCGTGAGTAGTGGCTTAATGTGCCGTTACTCTTAAGTTTTCTAGTACCTTGCTAACTTCGAAGAATTAAATAAATATTTCCAACACTCATACCAATTAGCCTAGCCCCAAAGTAAGCACTGTAAGGCTTGTGTTATGGGATGCTAGGGTAACGGATAGAATACTTATAATGTACATTATATAAGTATATTTATATAAATATACATGTTTAAACATCCATGACTAGAGTACAAATGCTAGTATTCATCACACAAACATCTGCCCCCACCGGGATTCAAATCTTTCATTGCGATGGCAAAATTTAAAAGTATAAATGTGAACCAATAGTTTAAAATCTCCCTAACATGACCTGCAGACGAGTGCCACGCTACATTCGACGGTTGGACTTGCTGGCACGCGGCGGAGGCCGGCACCACGGTGCAGGAAGTCTGCTCCGAGTTCGCTTATTCCAACGTGGGACCTTCATGTCACCGTAAAGTATTAGCTTGATTGACCTTTATTATAAGTAGTTAGGTAATGTTATTAAAACCTGCACAGCCGAGGAACTTTTGTCCGCGGACTTTAAAAAATAGATCTCTTACAATTGCATCGAGTAAATGCACACGCACCGATTTATCGAGATGGACCCAGTATTCTCCTTTGAAACGTTTTCTCTTTTAAACTTCATATTAATTACAACACACCGTAATCTGAGAATAGTTCCTTCAATAGTGTGTCTTAATTTTTAGGCAACAAATGTTCGCACACCGTTTGCGTTGAGTCCGTGACAAGTCTTCGTTAGACAACTTTTTCACAATTTTTTCCTCCGCGGACATCGTCCTCGTCTGCGCAGGCTATTAAAGATTCTTTTTATTGAGGCATTAAAATTTCTCAAAGCAAGATTATACCGCTGTGTCATAAAGTCCGATGGACTTTGATGGCACTGTGGTATAATCTTCAGGTTTGTAATTGCTGAAGTCTGCTTATTGGTTGGGTGTACAGAACTTTGTTAAATGGAACTTCTCCGTAATTCGGAAAGCTCGATAAACTTATTAGTTTACATAATATACCATTGACCCCCCAGCGCCGCTTTTGAAGTCGTCAGTTACTTATTGCCTAGCTTTCCGTACTGATTCTAAGTGGTGAGTTGTCATGGTCCGTTCTAGTCCTGCCTATGCGATCTTACCCACGCCACAGGGCAAGCAATACGAGCCTCGAGATAGATATGATCTTGATTTGATAGTGATATTTTTACTGATTTTGTTCAAAACTTAATTTTATAGCAAACGATTTTAATCTTAGCCAAATCATTCACAGATTTCAGTAGCAAAAGGTGTTTCGCCAATGCGACATGGGAACTTCAAACCGATTACAGCACTTGCAGCATCACGCCGCGCCTACTGCGCCGTTACTATTACCACATTGCGATGCTAGCATTCTCCATCGTCCTATGTCTTCCCGCTGTTATCATATTCTTCTACTACAAGCGATTGAGAATCGACAGAGTAGCGTTGCACAGGAATTTGCTCATTGCTATCATTATGAGGAACGTTCTTGTCATCATTAGTAGGACTACGGTGAGTAATTTTGCTTTTAATTTAATTAATCATAAACCTTTTTCTCCGGTCCTATTAACATAGCCATGTCAGCCTTCCATCTTCCTATGTCTTGCCGCAGCCGTCATATTCTTCTTCTATTACCGATTAAAAATCGATAGAGATGCGTTGCACAGGAATTTTCTCATAGCTATCATTGTGAGGAACGTTTTCATCATCAACAGCAGGATCACGGTGAATATTTTTACGTTGAATTAAATTAATCATACACCTTTGGGTATTTTATTGCAATTGAAAATAGTGATTCTGCAACTACAATATAAGTACTTACTTTAAGCAGTTTTTGGGCTAAAACTTTACTTCACAATTCTTATCGCAGTAGTTCAGCAACTTTAGCACTGCTCGGTGCATCAAACTTGTGACTAAAAACGTACCTACTATTTTGAGCTTCTCTATTCTCCACAAGTCTTGTTAAGTCGTCAGTACGGTACAGGTTCTGACTCCAGATGCAGCAGGGACCACCGACGTAACGTGAAATGAATTGAAAGAGAGTCGTAAGCCCATTCTTCTCATCAGCATTTAACTCAACTTCAATGTTTGATTGAGGAACTCGATGGCGCAGGTGACTAACACGTTCGGCCTGCGATCGTGAAAGATAAGCAATTTTCGCAATTGTTTGTCATTGGAAAGGTGACCAAAAACTTGTCGTCGTTGATGCCCACCAATCCGAAAAGGGCCTGCGTGGTGGGTTACGGACCAATCTCCCCAATCTATCCATTGGGAAAGCCTGTGTCTCAGGAATGGGCAAATGGCAATCATAATCAGCCTATTAATGCCAATAGGCTGATTATGATAATTTTTGATCACTTATCCATCTTATAACCATTGTAAAAGTCATTTAGCTAGATTCAGTAACTCAATCTTACCTTAATTTCAGATTTACATAGACGAGATAACGAACACAGGCGACACCACTCTGTCCAACCATAGTGTCGCGTGTCGCATTCTCAGCATAGCGGAGAGAATCGCCGGCAACGCTGTGTTCGTATGCATGCTAGTCGAAGGCATTTACTTACACAGACTCATAGTAGCGGTCTTTAGGAAGAAGTTGAATGTCAATTGGCTTTACGGCATCGGCGCTGGTGAGTGCGATTTCCGAAATCAAGGATATTATAACATTTTTTTCAGCATCGGCATAGCGGAGAGTGTCGCTGGCAACGCTGTGTTCGTATGCATGCTGATCGAAGGCATTTATACTTAGTCTTCAAGAAGAAGTTGATTATCAATTACCTTTACGCTATCGGCGCTGATTGGGATGGGGATTACGAGAAAACAGGGTGTCGGGGAGACCAGTCATTAAGATGGGTAATGTGGTAGAAGAATAAGCCTTTCTAACTATACTTATCTTGTTGGCCTGAACCCAATCCTCTAGCACGTAGAGCTTTGAAAAATTTACTCTCCAGGTAAAAACACAACACTACCACGAGGTCTGCACTTCACATTGTTATTCATGTTTTCTATTTGTGAATTCCTTCTTTGTTATTCTCTGCAGGGCATTATAAGGATTTATTATTATAAAATTAAATTTAAAAAATGTCAAATGCGAATATCAAATGTTAGGTTATCTTATATTGAGATCTTGTTGTACTTCCCGAGAGTGACACTGATCATCAACTTTCACTAACTTTTATATGTAGTTAGTTAGATACGTGACCAAAAATGTTTCGCCTACAGTGATTGCAATAGTACCAGTGATCGCCTGGGCTTCAGTGATGGGTGTTCACAACGACCACTCGTGCTGGGTGATCTACACCGTCGACCACGTGCAGTGGATCCTGGACGCACCCAGAATCACGATCCTCCTCGTCAATACAGTCCTCTTCGTCGACGTACTGAGAGTTCTGCTCACCAAAATCAGAAACGCCGAGAATGCTAACCAACTGTAAGTATCTAAGAGCTCAAAAATATTTTAATGAAACCATCGAAACATCCAATGTTTTGGGTACCTATTGCGACATTTTACATATAGTAAATGAACGGAGTCGAGTACGCCCGTATTTGGGTAGTTTTGGTTATCCGACACCGTCTTCCAGCCCGTATTCCAGTGTAAATATTGCTTCGGGTGCCCGAATTCGGGTAATGTCTTTCGTGTATTCGGGAATACGGGCTAACGACCAAGTGTGATTGAGCCATAAGAACGAGCGTCGGTAATAACTGAGACATTATGTTCCCTTGGTTCAGGCACGTAGAAAGATTGTTGTACAAGGGAATGACATAGGTACAACGCAAAGGATGTGAATGTAAAGAGAACGAAAGATGTGTGTACAAGGACCGTATCCTATAGCACTTCGATATGGCTACATACAGTAGGTAAGTACCCACTCACTCAAGACACATTGGCGAAGTGAAGTCGTTGAAAGACGCAAAGGTAGAAAAGACGTGAAAACGAAGTGAAGGATGTGTGACAGGAACGTGACAAATAGCGTTCAAATCTGACTGTTAACCGACTCAGGTTACATTGTGAGGGTAATAAGTAATATTGATCGCAATGATAGTAGAGAATGCTACCAAACTGTAAGTCGGTATTTACTACTGACCTAACTTTTTGTAACGCCATCGAAAAACGTAATGTTTTATATGAAATGGCATATTGAACATATGACCTGGCTGAAGTCAGAAAGAGAGTTGGTTCGGAAGACAATATCACAGGGAATAGACATGTTCTGTTAGTTTTAAACACGTGGAAAGGTTGTCGTACAATGGAATAAGTCGAGTTCGAGACTCGTCAATGGATCAAATATTAGCTGTAGATGATATTAGAATCAAGTCAGGAAATAAAAGATAAATAATTTTCACAGGAGCACAGCGAAGACGACGTTGTTCCTAATGCCCATATTCGGATGTCAGTTCCTACTGACGGTGTTTAGACCTAACACAACCAATTGCACGGGGGAGCAGGCGTACTTCTACGTCGCTTACGCGGTGGAAGGGTTGCAGGGAGTCATCGTGGCCTTACTCTATTGCTATATTAACAAAGAGGTTAGTACGCTAATAGTGTGTACGGTTTATGTTATTGCATTACTATAAGACTGTATTAAGAAGGATTTGGAAAATAAGAAGACACATTACGGTTCAAGAGCTCTATTGCGACAGAGATTAAATTATACAAATAAGGCAGGCGTAGCTGCGACACACACATATATAATACATTTGGTATAGTATATGCATGATATACGGTTATCATGCATATACTATACCAAACGTAAACTCAACAAAATATAATGTGTCCCTACATAGTGCAAAACCTAACAAAAAATTGTAGACAAGAAAAGGTTAACTTTAAAATCGCTTTGCTCAAAATACATTGTGTGTGTGTACACGCAGCCTAACTCGTATAGGATGACCCAGCACAACATAGCACAGAGATTGTCGACATATGACCGTCAAAATATCGGTTGGATGAATTTTGTTGGGTCCAATATTTTGCACTAACAAGTAGCAAACCGATTTGCTATCAGTCGCTACTGAATTGTGTGTCAAATACAGATGCAATAAAGTAGCTGATACAATGTTACTCAATCCATGCATATAATGAAGCAATCATGAATGAACTAGGGTTAAAACTAAGTTTACTTTGGAATGTCTAGTTACCTGTCACAATCTTTCCATAAAATAATTAATGCTCATTTGCATGAGCATACGCTTAGGTGATTCCTAGCAAAGAGATGCCGCTATGCAACACCTTAAGTAAATTCGATTTGGCCAATAAAAAAGCCGGAAGATGTTCGCGTCCTCACTTTATTTTTAGGAACTAATGTTTTGCTGATTTTTCTTATGGTATAGCACCATTGACACTGTCATTTCCGTGTGAAATGTGGTTGTAGAATCTATTTCTCACTAAAGACCTGAATTATCTGCAGTATTACGTATTATGTATGTATGAATCAATTTGACTCACATACTTGTAGTAGAAATAATGCTATAGATATATAGAAATTACTAGATAGTAAAAATTATCTTTTTTTACTAAAAAAACACAACACACACTTTTCGCAGTTTACCAGTCTGGATATTTTCTTTGAAATATTGATTAAACTTTAAAAATAGAAATAGGCTGAGCGGACGAACCAATCATGCGCATCCAGTGCGAATTTGTGGGTGGTAACCAGTAGGTGGATAGCTTAGCGTTTATTCCTTGTCGTTTCTCCCAAAGTAAATATATAATGAAGTTTTAAAACTTTTTATTAGATACAAAAAAACAAAATAAATAATTTTTCAGGTCCGCATGTTACTCAAAGCGACATACAAGAAAACGGAGAGCATGGTAGTATCTCGCGTAAGACGTGACTCTCACTATCCACGAATGAGTATAGACCCCAAATCGGACAGACGATTTACATACAGTACGGCTGTCCCTACTCACAGCGTTGACGACACAAAAGATCACGGCAGAAATATCACGCCAAAGCTGCACGTTGCCGAAATTATATCTATACAGGCCAGTGAGAGATTAGCTGATATTCTAGAACCAGTTTACGAAACTATAGAAAGTGGCGTAATCAACGAAGGTTACGACTCTTTAGAAAGGTCCAGCGTGGACAACGACTCAGGGTTCATAGCCAACAGGGGCACGAAAGGAGATAACTACTACAACTTCACTAATGTCTCCAGCGTATCCATAGATTGTCAGGACTGGATAAAGTGCGTATCATCACCAACGAGCAGCATTTATAACAATTCTTTAAGTGATTACGAATCGAGAGATAAAAAGTTTCCAACTCATCCAAATCTCAAAGATTTTATTGAAGTCAAAAAGAGATTATCGGCATGTGATAACATAGTCGAAGCTGATCCAAATAAAGAGAAAGATTGCGGAGACGATAAAAAAGCTAGTTGCTCCAACGAACGGAAATCTGTCGATGAATTTAATGAAACTGATGAATATGATGACGATATGCTTGATGAAATAATGCAATATATAGAAACTAACGACGAAAACAGCGTCAAGCTGAACCCTGATGCACTTAGCCCGAATAGGAAAGATGACGAAAAAATTGTTTTTCTTGAAGACTAATGGATACTTGAATTATTGACAACAAAAACTTATTTTTCAATGTGATTTAAAAGGTACTTAACATTTCTGTATAAATGTGTATTTTAGGGATTAAGCAAACAGTAACGTAAAAATTACTTCTTTTCTTCGAGAAGGGATCCGTATTATTTTTGTGTCAATGATATGTTAGTAAACAACATCAATAAATTAATGCAATTTTAGTCCTTTGATTTATAATAATTTACAATAATTTTATCACAGATTTTCCTATTATGGTCACTTTAAGAATACTCTGTGTAAGATATTATTGGATTTTTTAATACTTTGTGTGAATATTTAATTCAGATGTCAGTAGAAAATATTTATATTATATACATATATTATACTTACCTAAATTAAAACTTAGTTGTTAATATAAATCAATTCCTTCATTTACTGCTGTTTTTCAAGTAGGTACAGATACTTTTATAATTCATATTTTAGTAAATAAACATTGATATGGAAGACTCTATTTTATTCATACCGAGTTACTTGAACAAAATTAAGTTGTAAAACTAAAACATTAACTGACCGTTTATAATGGAAAGTTCTATAGTAAGCAACAAATATTGAATTGGGACTTCATTTGCGCAACCCCCCCCGTATGGTATCGGCAAGCCTCGCCTTAGCCGTTCAGTTCAGCAAACATTCATTAATTGATCTGTCAACTTGTTTCAAATGTAGATCCTTTCCAAGAGCGCTTACAAAAGCGAGTGGGGTCGTACACACGCGCGCAGTCTACCATCGGGTCTTTTGAGATACACTCAAAAATATCATAACATTTGAATTACCTATTTTTGAAGCGCTTATTAAATAAGCTAAGAAAGCTAAGCATAAGCTACAAATTTCACAGTTACGACAATTTACCCACAGTCCATCGAAGAAGCTATATTATTTAAAATACTAAATATTTTTGAATAAGAATGATGTACAAGTTATTTGTGGTGTTGGTATTGTGTTGGGGTGTTGAAAGTTTCCCGGATGGAGCGCCCGTCGATGCGTGCGTGAAGAACCGACCCAATCAACCGAACCATGGACAGCACAGATCACAGCCTTTGAGCACTTTGCCTTATAGGGTGCAAGCGTCTTCGGCTACTTATGGGCCAGAATCGGCTATTACAGGTAAGTTTTGCCATTATCATTAAAGTAGGTACTTACAAAAGTACAAAAGATGGAACGCGCAAGATTCCAAGATGATTAAGGCCCGTATTACAGAAATATTCTCAGTGATTGATCTAGTCTTGAGCATAGTTAGAAAGGGATGTCGTTATATATAGCACATAGCGACATCCCATTTTCACTGTACTCAAATAAAGATCAACACTTTGTTGTCATTCTGTAATACGGGCCTAGGTTTGCTTAAGCTTGCTTACATAAGCAACAATTTTTCCGACTGTCGAAAATAATTTCCTATAAAAGGAGGCTCACTCACTTTTCGCAATCCCACTATGACGTAACTTAATCTCTTGAAATCTATGTAAGTAGATCGTAGAATAACGGAACAATAGAAATAATAGTAGAATTAGGACTGCGTGAACTATACGAAATAAAAGGAATTGTATTTTTTCTTAACTGAAATTTCAAGTGCTGGTGTTACCGCCTTCTGATGTTATTTTTAGGGTTCCGTACCTCAAAAGGATAAAAGTGAACCCTTACAGGATCACTTTGTTGTCCCTCTCTCTGTCAAGACCCTTTATCTAGGATACGCGTGGAAGTATCAAATTGAAATTTTACCCATATTTTGTGGCCGCTTGAAGCTGCGAAAAAAACAATTTCCTAAATTCAAACTATTAAAAAAGATCCGGCCGTTAATCTGTCTGTCTGTGAAGACAGGTACCGAGTTGAAATTTAAACTATATATTCAGGTGAACGGTCCTTTAAAGCTGTGACAAAATCAAAATTCTAACATTACGTAAATAAAATATACGACCATTTATGTTGCTTATCTATAAATTTGTACGGAACCCTCTGTGACTCGTACTTGTCCGGTATTTTTTCGTTTGAAAGAAATAATTTCTATAACTACAGAACCGATTTTCGATGAAAATTCCTGCACCAGTAGGTCGAAAACTACTCCATTTCTGAGTGCCAGAGGCTATAACATTTTATTGCATTAAAATAAATTTCAGCCGGTCGCTAGAAACCTATTAATCTCAGTCTTAAAAGCTCTATAAATAAAAAAAATATTATGGACTTACTCATCGTAATAAATAAAATATTTTATTTTGTTTATTGTAAGCTGGTTCAGAAAAAGCGAGACGTTTTGTAACTTGTTCCTAATATGTGTAATTGCATTGAGAGACCGTCACGATTTGTTTTATTTTTGTTATCGCAAAATATATATTGCATCATCATCTGTGCATTTGGGCTGAAATGGTGACTGTTATACCGAGTTATAGAATGAATAGTTCGGCAACAGTGTTTATTCTCTTGATACAAAGATATGGACATAATACGGGGCAGTTTTCAAAATTTCTATGGAAAAAGGAAAGTAACAGTCAATATGCATATTATCGCCAACAACAAAAAATCTCGTGTGTAAATTATTTTTAAATAAGATCTTATGCAATTAATTGCAGTAGACAGCCAATAGTCAGCTTTTCAACTTTTTAAACTGGTGTGATTTAAAATTAGAACACAAATTTCGAATAAATTTCAAATCACAGCGGCGAATTCCGCAGTAATTTTTTACCTTTAGTTGAAAATACCTATCAGTTAAACGCAATCACCTCTCATATCGCAAAATCATATCTCATCATTAGAAACACCATGCCACTTAGTGTTATTTCAAATTACTGTAGGGTTAGTTAAATCTTCTTCAGTTAGTAATTTATCATTTATTAATTTAGGTGCCCGCGACTTTGTCTGCGTGGAAAAGTTGGTTTCCCATACAAAGTTCTACCCCCTTAAAAGATGATTTCTGAAGTAAAAACTATCCTGTACTTTCTCGGGATCGAAACTATCTCTATACCAAATGTCATCTAAATCGGTTAATCGCTTTAAGCGTGAATTTATATTCTTAGTATGGATATAGGTATTAAATTTAGATCTTTTAACACTAGCGAAGCGTCGATTAGACGTATCATTGCTCGTTTGTTTTTTGGAGATTAAAATTAATATAATAATAATAACAAACATTTATTCCAGACTTTAAATTTATAGACAAGTGTTAGTAATTAACATGTGCGTAATTTGTTATTCTGTTATTTATCATAAGGACCTCATTTATAAAACTATATTTAAGAGATTTTTTACATTGGACAGTGCAAATAGAATCTTTATAATTTTAAGTTATGTCTAGATGTGAGGACCTGTATTTGGCTCTTTGTCGCTACTATTCATTTCTAGTATATTAAGATAAGCTGTTGGTCTTCCGTGTAACCAAAATAAATAAATAGACGTCGTTAAAATTCTTCTTTATTTATTTGTCTACTTGTCTTGTAACATACAACGATTTTCAATTTTTCGTATATGGGGCATTACGAAATAATATTTTTACACCTATCTATTGTCGAGTATGAATGATCATTTAAGAATCATTGGTCAACAAAATTGGTTTATATACTTATTCGATAGAATGAATGAGTTATTATGTATTTTATTTTAATTTAAGCATTAATCTGCTTGGTTTATAAATATAAAGAAAATTTTGTCTTGCCTTGAGAGACTTGATTTTTTAGTTATTAATTATGATTAATGTAATGAATCTACAAAACAAAAATAAGCTTCCTCTTTATTTTTTTTCAAACAGTCCAAATATACAATATTATTCATAATAACCAACAATACAGTCGGCCATTTTTCATTAATGAAATCTTCAGCAATGAGAGCGTATAAAATCTAGTGAAATAGACCGGTTGAGACGTCTGACTACGCGCTTACTCTACTACACGCAGCTTACGCAAGCTACGCAACTCATGGTTTTGTAGGTCACATATAAGCTACGGCGGATTAACCGGTTCAGTGCTATTACTTAAAACAACTAGATCAATCGAGAACAAAATTGTCCTTGCTTAATTCTACATTTGGTTATTTTAGTTAATTTTTGTAACACGCTTAGGATGATTATAGTCTTATTAAAAATAATACACTAACGATCTTCGTAGTCGAGAGCAAGCCCAGAGATTTGACGACGATCCATGTTAGATTCCTGTATGAGGGAATCATCAACACTATATACTACTAAGCTATAATGTTCAAACTGCCTTCCCTAAATGATGTAATAGGAAAAACGACGATTTTATAACATGCACTCTCACTTTCGATATCATTTTGATTTGATTTTTAGCCGTAGCCGGATTAGTATATATAATTCATAGCATCGCCTTCTCGTGAGATCCCGGGTTCGAATCCTGGTGGGGGCAAATGTCAGTATGATGAATACGAGCATTTGTACCTTAATCGTGGTATATATTTCTAGATAAAATATACTCATAATATGTATCAAAATATGTATTCTATCCGTTACCCTAGTGTCCCATAACGCAAGCCCTACGTGCTTACTTTGGGGCTAGGCTAATTGGTGAGTGTTGGAAACAAAGGCCACCCGCAACTTCGTCCACGTCAACTTTAGTTTTTTAAGAATCCCATAGGAAACTGGGAGACCGATCATGATAGTCATTTCGCCTGCCTAGGCCGGATTGGAGTGTGCTAACAACTGGTTCTAGATAGTACATTTTTAACACCCATCCCATGATGGACCATAACGGAAGTTGATTTACTTCGACGATCATAGACCGACCGCGCTAAGCACTGTGGCTTCGAGCTCCTATGAGATAACGTGAAGCACAAACTTCAAAAGGACAATTACCGGTGTCAACGTACGTTCAGTTACTCAGACGCGATCTTTATCGAGAATGCGTCTTCAACGATCAGACGCAAATAATACTTCAAAAGTAAATGCTAGGTAACTAGATAGATTACATACTAATATTATAAATGCGAAAGTGTTGTCTGCCTGTCTGTTAATTCTTCACGCATAAACCCCTGAACCGATTTAGATGTAGTTTGAGTCCAGGAGGAGAAAAAAATAATTTTATCATATAAATCATCCTTTAAGGTAGTGAAAAATGGGATACGAGTTTGAATGAAAATCAACTTTTTCCACGCAGACGAAGTCGCGAGCTTTCAGGAGTACCTACCTAACTTTTATAAATAACAAAGCATTAAATTCGTAGTTCAACTCACCGTAAACCATTATATTCTTTTTATTCATTACAGTGACAATCGAAGGAGCGGAACCTTTCAAGGGTTTCTTCATCCAGGCCCGCTCGGTGGAGACGGACGAGTGGCTGGGCTCGTGGGAGCAGGCGCCCAATACAACCATCCACCCGGAGTGCTCTTCGGTCACTCACGCCGACCCCAGGGAGAAAAGCAGGGCGACATTAGTATGGCGGGCACCCGCTAACACACAAGGCAGGGTCTATTTCACGTAAGTTGATACTTTTTTATTGGACTCGTAGGGTTATTGGAGTTGTGGGAGTAAACGATGACATCCACCCGTAGTGATCTTAGGTGACGAACGCCGACCCCAGGGTAATTTTATTGAGCTCTTGGGAGCAGACAAATAATAAGCTATTGGGAGCAAGCGCCCAATACTACGCTTCGATCATGCACGCCGACTCCATCAGGGAGAAAAGCAGGGCGACATGAGTATGGCGGGCACCTGCTACTACACATGGCAGGGTTACTTCACGAAGTTGATACTTTTATTATTAGGTTCGTGGGATAAAATAAGATACCATCCACCTGGAGTACTCTTCGGTCACGCACGTTATACACTTCGACCTCAAGGAGAAAAGCAGAGCGACATTAGTTTGGCGCGCGCCCGCCAACACACAGGGCAGGGTCTACTTCACGTAAGTTTAGACTTCTATTGAGTTCTTGGGAGCAAGCGCCCAATACCAACATCCGCCTGGAGTGCACCCCGGTCATGCACGCTGAGCCCAGGGAGAAAAGCACGGCAACGTTAGTTTAGCGTGCGCCCGCTAACACACAGGGCAGAGTCTATTTTACGTAAGTTTAGGCTTTTATTGAGTTCTTGGGAGCAGGCGATCGATGCAAACCACCAAGAGTGCTTATCGGTCACTCACGCCGACGCCAGAGAAAAGAGCAGACTACACTAGTATGACGCGCGCCAGCCAACACACAGGGCAATGTTCACGAAAGTTTGTGTAGACTGTTAGGTTCATGGGATCAGGCGATGGCATCCGCCGGAAGCGCTAGTGGATTATTTAAGCCGTCTGACCCCAGTTTTATACCTTTCTTTTTAATAACGCAGGCAAAACCTCTATTAACTAACGGACCTCACACCTAGCTTCTCGCAAGTCGAAGGTGCGAAACGGAGAAGCAGTCCGCGCGGCTTACGTCATACTATCCGCTAAAAAACCCTGCGAATACCCTCTATGCTTTTAAGTGCGGCCCCGCAAGTTCCCCGTTAAGGGACTTCACCATGTCAACCCCAGGTTTCTACCTGGAGTCAGACAAACTGCCTGTGTGCTGAATTAGGTTTATTAAAACAAGCAATTCTATCCACCTAAAAAGCTTGTCGATCAAACATGCTGACCCAAGAGAAAAGAGCAGAGCATGTGGCCAACACACAGGACAGAGTACTTAGTGTAAATATTACATTTTTCGTATAAACAAGGGGGAAAGCAGGGAGTTGTCAGTGTAGAGAAGAGTAATTTCTGTTCCCATTATTGTAAAAATATAATTTTCCCTTCGCCTTATCTAATGATGGGGTATGTACGTTATGCATTTATTAAAAAGGCATTACATACTCTGTGTGATACCAATAGTGTCATGGGTCACTATTGGTATCACGCGGAGTACCGCACACGGTTAAGACTGAGTTGTATTCAGTCTTGGGTTTTATTTTAGACTTCTAATGGACACTACATCACAACTAAAGGTTCAGCGAGACAGCGGGCGAGAACCTCTGTCTGGCTGAACCTTTAATTGAAACGCCCTTAAGTTAAAATACTTACCTATAATCAAACTTTGGTCTTGATGTGATGACATGGTAATAAAATTTACACTTTGAAGGATAATGGGGTCATTAGGCTTCATTTTGATAATAAGGTCGTTGCCCCCAGCCTCATGCAAGCGTGTGTAATGCAAGTTCCTTTCACCCAACATATTGACGCGTGCTTGCGTAACCGAAGCAGTTAACTGCCACCGAACGTTAAAATATAACCTTGGATTTAAACTCCAGTTAAGGCCGAGTTATCTAGTTGGTAATCAAGCGGATTTGATCGTGATCATCTCACACGGATTTGCATAAGTTCATATTTTATTATTGTAATCTTGGCTTGAAAACAAGACCATTAGCAACACATTAAGTTACCTCAAAATGTATAATTTTCGCAATCGACTATGAATTAAATAAGGTGTTGGAGAAAATTTTCAGTATTGCATAACTTGGATTATGGGGTTAGCAGGGATTATTGGATTTACTTGAACGCTACAGAATAACATAAGGGGCGCATCCTTGCACCTTGTGAAGTACTTCCACCATACCTAAGCCCTCTATGTAGAGCCGAACGTCTAGGGCAGCAAAAATAAACAGCCATGACTTTAGGTCGCGTCTAAATCGTAAGTCTTTTGAATAGGAGCTACTGGAGAGTAACCGCTTGGGCTCCCCTATTATTACGGTTACCTCTCTAATCAAAGCTCTACTTTTTTGGAACAGATAGACAGAAAAACGCCACGCAAGTCACGTCACGCACGTAAGCAATAGTAACAACAATTGAAAAAAACTGGACAAGGGCGCGTCGAACTCGCCCACCGATGTTTCCGTACACATTTGTAGGAACGCAAAATAAACGGTCGTTTCTCTGTTTTGGTAAACTTAGAGGTTGTTTTTTTCACATTTTCAAGGGACCGTAGACTTTAGTATGTAGTTTAAGGAGGACTTATTTGCTTAAGGACCAATAACAACATGCGGTATATCATTGGAAAGGGTGTTTAATGCACTTTAATTGATGTTATGCCGTGTCCCAAATCGTTGTGTGAAAAAAGTTATGACGCAATACAACCAACCAGAAAAGAACTTAGTACGCGGACTTACAGACGCACAGACGGACAAGAATAATCTTATAAAGGTTTCGTTTTTTTTTCTTTTGAGGTACGGAACCGTAATAACTCATCATCATTTAGTTTTTTTTTTTCAATCAAACCCACCGTTTTATTATTACGACATGATGTGTGCCGGTAAATTAAGTGCCACATTAGGCTCACTATCATTTTTAAGCCGCGTTTCACTTCAGTTATATTCAGTTTACATTTCGTAGTAAAGGGTCGCGAATTTTAACAAAAATGAATACTTACCTACACCTAAAAATTATGAGTTTGCTTGCTTAAGAGAAGATAAATAAATGCACAAAAAGTTTTTTTTCTTTTATTATCAACTTATATTATTACACAATTTACATAATATAAAAGCTTGTCGCCAGATTAAAGTAAGGGAAGATAATGATATTTACTTGAAAGTTTTCCAATTTTGTTTATACTTTCTAGCTATCGCTGGACACCATCGAACACTTCAAAAACCTTATATTCTTAGCAACTTGATTTGATACCCATATTGTAGGAAAGTATAAAAACTTAGTCTGCCATCTTATTAAGTACACCATATTGGATTTAAGGTGACGCCACTATAGTTTGTAGGATTGCAAGTCGTTTCATTTGATACTCATATTGTAGGATTACATCATAAATAACTAGTCCGCCATCTTGTATGTTCTGCCATATTGAATTTAGAGTGACGTCACACAGCTTACCATGCATTGTCATCCAAACGTGTGTACAAAAATTTCAGCTCAATCGAATGAAGATATCTGCTTCAAAATTGAGTTGCAAGATTCCATCCGAACAAACATAACATACATACATTGCAAGTTAAATAAAAGCTTTGAAAAAGACTCAAAACCAGCACGCTTTTTAAACAAAAACAAAAAAAATAGATTTTCTTTTTAAAATTCACATTTGTCACTTTTGTTTTACAGAGGAACAGTCCTAAAGGACTATGGGACGTTCTGGGCAAACATTATCGCCGAGGCACCACAGGACCCTGCGCAGTTACAACTACTTGGTTGATCAAGATTACCACCAAAATTATTAAGTATACGAGTTTGAGATAAGAATTTTGATGCAAAAGTAAGAGATTGCTAACACCTTTTATTTATATCTATATATATAAAAATATGATGATTTATCTCTTCTTTACAAGAGGACAACAAGAGTTGTTTACTCTAATCAGGTGCCAAAACTGTAAAATATATAAAACTGGTACCTACCGAAATTACAACAAGACGAAACGTCCAATAATTCAGATTTGTTTTACTTAACGTGTTTCTTGTCCTTGTTGCATATAAGAATGGTCAGCTGTAGGTAGTACAAGTACTTTATATACATTATCATATATTAATATTTTAACACAACCTTAATTATTATTATTTTCTTTAGATTTAAACATGAAGCAGTTACATGCTTCAAAAAAAATTATAACAACCTTAATGTTTGTTTCAACCACGAGAAAGAAGCGGTTTGGGTGTTACAAAGTCTGTAGAAAACGGAGCCTAAAAATTCAAAGAATAAATCGCGCTTATTCTCGTTCGAAAAGCATACAATAGGGATGATGATTATTTTTTTTCTTCGTTTATCAGGTAGATTATCAAAAAGTATTGGACACATATTTTTTCTTTTTTCACATAATATAAACATTGCAGAGATACATTGATTTGAAAAGTCGCATGACGTCACGTTTGAGTACACTTTTAAGTGAAAATTCACTAGCATCACGGACACAAGAAAAAATACGTGTCCATTATTTTTTGATCATCTAACTGACGGACTAAATAGAATTTCGATTACTGTACCCCGTCGTCACCCCTATTAAGAGTGTCAAACTTTGTTCGAGGTTCTTTTAGTTATAATCGGATCGTACTGGGAAACGAACTTTAAAAATATAATTTTGGTACTTGCTTATTTGGCCGTTAATAACTTTGGCTAATAATCAACCTCTTTTAAATAATTATAAGGTGATTAGCATTCTATTGTCTGTTGTTATATTATACTTATTATGTTTTTATATCATTGGATAATAAAACAATTTGTAAAGACTCGTTCATATCAAATTTGAGATTGTAAGGTGGGGGAAAATTGATTGTCGTTGGCATCATGACAAATTGGTGCTTATTAGATTATTGTTGATGTGCAATTAATTAATTTATGATTAAAGATTATTTTAAGTGCATATTTGTATTATTTATCAGCTACGGGTGCAAATAAAACATGGAAATAGTAAGTATAAATAAATTATATATTGTAAAGTAAAATAAATGCATTCTTTTACAATGTTATTATGTCCAGTCAAGTTTTAAATAAATTATAAATGTTAAATTGTTACATTTTCTTATAGTATTCGGTTGAGCGGACTCGGACAATCTCTCATTTACACTCCATTCACTCGTGAACTAAGCTAAAATAAAAAATAAACAACCAAAATTTTAAATAATCTCGATTTTTTTTCTCCGATTCCTTGTTTTTAGGAATCAATTACGAAAACCTTACAAGTTAATACCTGTGTTGAGCACGTATATAAAACAAAGTTGCTCATGAAATTAAGTTTTAAAACAATGTACCAATCTAGACAATACAACAACAGTTTGTACGTTATAGCCATTATTAAAAAACGATGTTTATGAATTTGATTGCATTGTTCTGCGGTACAAATAGAATGACTAAAAACTATTATTACATGAAGAATAAGCAGTTGTTTGTTAAGGAAATGTCTTTAGCATTACACTAAATTAATCAAGAATTTGCACGCAACATTATTCAGTTTTGGAACCTTAGGCACAATGGTGCAAAATCTGTAAGTTATTTATGTGAAACCAAGAATATTTTTGTGAAGCCTGCCTCTCCAAATTCACTGACCGGTTAGCTTATCTGACAGATAGTGGACAATTTCAATTCCACATAAGCTTAACAGAATCATAATCTAACAAAGCAACTTGTGATCACTGATCTCTTCATAGAGAGACCTAATATTTTGAATTTGATTGTCAGACAACACTCAGTATCATTTATTCAGATGCAAAATATTGCACAAAACATTATCAGTCTAAACACACACTATGTTGCAGAATTTGCATCAACCTCGACTAAACGGATACAGACTTGAGAGATTCATTACATCATATAGGCAAAAACATCGCTCTTATGCAATGCAATGTTGAATAAAAAAATAAATATTTCATATTAAGGCACTAAGCAGCAAATAAAATGTGTTGAAAAATACAAAATTATTCGTTTACACATGTCAAATGCGTTCTGTTATAAAAGCGTTAAGCAAAATCCGACCTTATTTGATTAAACTTTACGATGGATTCTTCTGTTTCATAACTGGTCGCTTGATGTTCATGAGATCGCATAGGTCATTCCTTATAGGTCTTAATTCGTTCACGTCCTTTTCCCAGTCTGTGTCAGCAAGGACCGCCATAATCTGTCATAAAAACATATAACAATTTGGTTAACTCCTAGATATTATCCGAAAGAAAATACTGTATGCCAGAAGAACAAACACTTCCTCTATTGATAAGATTTCATTTTTTGCACGGGAAAGTCAGAAAATGAATGAATGTTTTTCTTTTGCTGATGGAATCAAGTCTTACTTAGAAGACTGAATACGGTTTTCTTGAAGAAAAATGTATCAGATAAATAACGCAGATATAAATTTGGTTTAAATAACTGAATGTAAGTGCACAATTATTGTGTGTCACAGAGATCAGTGAATATACCCATTTTACATTAAAAATCCCACTCATCCTGCCTCACTTTTGATGCTTTGCTAATCTCACAAAACAGGAACCTATGCAATTACTATACATAGTTACGTAAATCAAATCTGAAACCATATAGTGAAAACATGTCCACAAGTTGCAACACCAGAACGAATATCGCGGCGCCTGTTATTGTAAGTTTGAAAAACGTTTGACGTAGTGACAATGGGGCAATAACACGAATGATGCAATATTTATGATTATACGAGCATTAGCAAAAAATAATGTAACATTATTAGAAGGGAATTCGTAATAACTGCGGTTTGTTTTAAAGTTATAGATACTGGACAATATCAGCTACATTGGTTCCAAGTCAAGGTAAGGAGATATAAACACATTTGTTAAGTCATCGCACGCGGCGAGTGGAACTCGCTAGTAGAGTTTGGAGACACGGCCATTTTTCTATTAAATAATGTTTCAATTGTCAAGGCGCATTTACTCCTTATTAACCAAAAATCTCTTAATTGAATCTATTATAATTAATCAATTAAAAATCCCTCTTTTCATCATTCATGTGCATAAGCAGGTATCTTCTACAAGTTTAGTTACTAAGAAAATACTTCTTAGATTATAGTCTAAGTCAAAGTAAATGTGCAGTTATTTTAAATTATTAATTTTGGAGTAACACTGGTCTTAAGGTTAATTATTCTTGCTCGTACCGATGAAATACCTATTTGCATTATGCAATGTAGTTTAAAGTATTTCAATCCAATGTTATCGATATTGTTATCAAGCATTCTTATTATACCTACACGAATAGGACCGGTAATTATGACAGGTAGACCGTAACAAATTATTCCATCGACTTGGAGCGCCCATTTAGGAAAGTAACTTCCACTTGTAGAAGACATTAAAAAAACAATACCTTTTGGTGGGGTTGCGTATCTCTTGGTAAGTATAATTTTAGTGCTTCACGCGGCGTATGGATACGGGACCAGAAACTTATCTACCGCTTTAGCTACTGTGTAAATGGACAAGAGATGGGCAGTGGGAAAAAACCCAATGGGAAAAAACCCAGGTTTTTGTGTCAAGTCAAGATATGAAATTTTGCTTATTCACGCGTTAGTCATTTTTTTTTTATTTTTGAATAAAACCAGCAGTTTAATTTATCTACAAAAAGACGTCTTCATAAGTCTACAAAACAAAATCCCAGTCGTCAATTAAACTAACATATTAACACAAGTGCGCACTGTACGAAGCCAAAATAACGTGTAAGATAAAATAACGCGTACGCCATTGCTACTACCTGCCCCCCCCCCCCCCCCCTCACCCGCGTACGTAGTTTCGAATCACTTGTCGCTAAGAGTGGATAAACAGACAGGTTTTTTTTATTTTATTTCATTTTATTTAATTAGATAGCATGGAGTATATATAAAGTTTTTATTGAATTATGAAAATAAAAAAAGTTAGATTAGCTCTAAAAATGTAAAATGGGTAAAATCCCATCTCTAAAATGGACCGCACTTACACTTAACATCAGGTGGGCTAGAATGATTTCATGCGCCAATTTAATAATATATATATTATGTGCGATTTTTATACTAATCTCTCTAACTCTCTCTGGTGGGGTTTATATTAAGTAAAACTTATTTTCTTATCAAAAAATTATAAAAATAAATCAAGGCAAGGCAAGTCCTAATTTTCGTGTAATAAATGTTATCTTTTAGATAACAGAAATTATTTATTTACCCTGTATTAAAAAAACTAAAGGCGTCGATATATTGTTAAAATACTTAAATAAACATTATTATATTTCGATGAAAAGATCCAATTTAGTTTGGTTATCTCAAATGTTGTTACAGAAGTCTACAGGTCTTATATTGAAATTGCGAATAGATTGCCGCGAATAAAGGATCCATCTTAAAGGAAGCCGAAAGAAAGTATGAATTTTGTATATACGCAATCAAATATATTTATGTAGAACAAGGTGACTCAATTGAAAATTTTGTGATGAAATTGTATCTAAAATATAACTAAATACTTTTCCACGATGTTAATGAGAATGATTTCAATAAATAAAGCAAAATATTTAAAGAGAGAGAGAGACTTTCAAATCTGCTTAATTCGTGTTCTACGCCGAGTGTAGTAAAGTATTATTTTGCTGATATTTAACAAGAACTGAGTTGACTTTCCTTATTAACACAATATTGCTTTAAATGATAATTTTATTTTGCTTAATTAAAGGTTTGGTTTGTTGAACTTTGAAAAATATTTGATAAACATTATCGCGAATGTTAATCTGCTAATACTTTTTTTACACAGTGACTTGTAAAAATAAATGTGGCACAGTAATAATTATTATATAATTTGACAATTATATTATTTGCAATAACAGTTCAATGTAGATACCAATTCATACACGTGGAAATACACATTAAAAAGTTGGTTTGAATTAGACTTAATGTTCCCTTTCATTGATAAACACCACAATCTAGAATCTTGTGCCAATAAATAGAATCATGTAGGGTAAGTAGGTACTTATTTCTCCTTACTCTTTGAAAATGAAAATGTAATTAACTCTTGAGCACAAAATTTACAACATTGGAAATTGTTGTGAATTTTTACAAATTAATATCCTTTTTATGTGATTCCAGTCAACAAGGTGAAGATGGCTGAAATGATGGATGGAGCGAAACACTTTTCTGTCATGTCATTAGTAATTTTCAAGACTACACTTTATTTTACATCATGTGGACAAAGCGCACTAACACCCTTTTTAATGGTAAGGGAGCCCAAGCGGGGATTTTTGGATTTACTGGAGCGCGGCAGAATAACATGAGGGGCCAAGGGCGGATCCAGGAGGGGGGGGGGGGGGGGGGGGGTCATGGGGGTCATGACCTTTTAACTCCTGACGATCTGGGAGGGGCACTAAATATGCTCCCATAGTATTCGGTGGATAGAGGAACAATTCCAACGAAGAACACACGAAGTCGGTGCATCTTGCCTTTTAATTAGTTTCGTATGAATATGAACCGTGGTATCTCCATTTAGGGAAAGATTTTTTTTGCATATGACTGTAACTCTTACCTTTTGCGGCCCAACACAAACCAAGTAATGAACCCATTGAAGCGACCCCTATAGATAGCTAGTTAATTTGTTGTAGGTATAGATTTTATTTCAATATAGATCCTTCAATCTACAACATCTTTTATTTCACCCTGTAGTTTTCTTTTACTTTGCCCGGTGGCTCTCTCGGGCAATATTCAGGGAGCTACCCGTGGCATTGTTTTTTTTTGCTGCCCTAGCCGGCTCTACATAGACACGTCAGGTAAGGTGGGAGTACTTCAAAAAATGCAAGGTAGCCCCTCTTATGTTATTCTGCCGCGCTCGAGTAAATCCAAAAAATCCCCGCTTGGGCTCCCCTACTATAATAGTTCACACAGTGGCCGCAAAATGTGACAATGTCAGCGGCCGCTTGTATTGGATTTGTGATTTGTGTGGGTATAATTACAATTGATGAGTATCGAGACATTGTTTCTGTAATTACACTTGATAGGCTTTTATTTGTAATTACTGCTCTTATGGTCTATGTAATAAAGACGCTGCCAATTGCTAATGCGAAACGAATAGAAATTGCGTTCAAAAAAAATTCGCAGAGGTGTGGTAATCTTAATTTCACTGCCACATCTAGTTTAGAATTGAATCTACTCAGTCAAGTGACACTATACTAGTACCCTAAGCACAAAACATTATTGAGTTCGAATAGTTGAATTTGATCTCAATACGCGTCAAAAGTCAAGAACTCCGTGACACTGATTTTTAATTTTCAGTCCGATTTGGTGCTGTTCCATTCAAAATTTCTCGGTCGATATCCGGATCGACATCCGGACTCGCTAAGCTAAGGGTACTGATCTATATTGTCTTGTGGCACCAAACACACGTCGCTATATTGAGTCGAAGCTCGAACAGTCTCGCTGCTAGAATCAAATGTACTCAATCAACTGACTATACAGACGGCCTATTCGCTAACTTTTTTGACATTTACAGTCTGTAAATAAAGAGAAAATTGCATGTCCATCAACTTTTTTCAGAACAAGTATGTTATTGGCGTTAGAATTAAGCAGTAGTGGATCACTAAATAGCTCGGTGGATATCACTCACCTGTCAAACGCAGTTAGCGAATAGGCCTACTTGTCCTGCGGCACGGAGCAAACGTCAACGCATAAAGTCAAAGCTTCATATAGTCTTACTGCTAGAATCGAATCTACTAAGTCAAGCGACACTATACCTGATCTATATTCTCCTGTGGCACCGAACAAACGTCGCCATATAGTGTCACACAGGGCAAACGTCGCCGTACAAATTTAAAGCTTCATACAGTGTCGCTGCTAGAATCAAATGTATTCAATCAAGTGACTATACCTGATCTATATTGTCCTGTGGCACCGAACAAACGTCGCCATATAGTGTCAAAGCTTCATACAGTCTTGCGGCGGCGCATCTTCTTACATAACGATCGGCGTAACACAAGTAAATAACCAATTGGCCCAAAGATTTGCTGCACACTACACCACCAACCTGTTGAACAATATTGATTGTAATCATCAGTATATTATACCTAATATAGTAGACACTAACACCCGGTCTCAGAAAGGCGGTTCAGCGATTAACTAATGACTGTGTCAGTTGACAAAGCTGAGGCCCAAGCACGAATTTTGACAGCTCCTTAGTGGTACCGTCATAAAAAATTGTATAGAATGAGCCAGTTTGTTCTTACTTCTGGTAGGGCGCTGTTTAGTTTTCATAGAAATTTCTTTGGCGTTGCGATACGATTACGGAGCTGTCAAACTTCGTGCTTGAGCCTCTGTTAAATTTAGTTCAAAAATTGTTACGGCAAGCACCATTTTGGGCGTTACAGAAAATCATAATGATATAACACTGCTGTTGACATGCCCGTTAGCTTAATAATGATGTGATAAACATTTTAGAATTCGGGTGTTAGTCATTATTCGATGAAGTATATAGTCCCGAGTACCTGAATCAGTTGACACAGCACATTGATGGAATCCAATAGCTTGTAAATATTTTTCCCACCCCTCAATTCTATTTGCAAATATTTCAAAATGTCTGCTGCAAAAGTGGAATCTGGGTCCTCTAATATTGGTGATATTGAACCTGCAGAAATATATTTAGATTAAATGTGACTATTCTATTATATAAGAATAGTCACATTATATCAATAAAAGATATACAAAATTGAACCTTAAATACCTGAACTTAGGAGTCTATCAAGGAAATTGAAGATGGGCCCCGTAATTCGTTTCACATGTAAATTGTCAGCGAACACTTTGATAATTGTATCACAGATGGATTTTAGCATAGGTTTGTTGTCTTGCAATGTGTTAAGGTATGAATACAAAGACTGTGTTGTATGTTTGACCTGGAATAAAACAAAGCAAACAAAATTTGTGAAAATAAAATTTAAGGCATACTTTGAATCTGCTATGGCTAGGTATGTGACTAAGTCCGAAAAAAGAACTAAAGCCTACAATGAGTCCAAGCGATAACGGTTCACATTACAGTCACATATAGAAAATAAATTAAAAACTTATTTTTAATGAGTTTTATAGTTATTACTTGTGAGAACGCCTGAACACAAGGGAAAGGTTGAGCGCAGGCGCAGAAGTGTGAACCATAGACATAAATGAACTGCGAAACACACTTGCATAAAATTTAAGACTCTTTAGAAAGAGAAAAAGCGATGGTGTAACCAATGCCTATAGAACTGTTGGCCACACGATCAGTTTGTCTCTCTAACAATGAATAGGGTATTTGACAAGTTTTAGAAAATAATGTCACATTATTTACCAATGTCTATAAAATCGAGTCTATAAAAAGTAAGTAATATTCATCAATTTGTTGGATTATTCAATAAAAAAAAAATATGAGCCGTCACGGGACGCCTGGCAGATGCGAAACATCGAAATTTATTTGGCAAAGTAATATGCAGAAAATAACAGACTGCGATAGGAACTTAATATGGCATAATGATAAAATAAAATAATACGTTTTTTTCCAGAAAATGATGACTGTTTATTTAATAAACATTTATTTTCATAGAATACAAAAATCGAATTCGATTGCGCATGGTGATGCGTCGCCACACCGTACACACTACAGCATAAAGACTATATATATATATATACCATCAATATAGCGTGGCGACGCGTCGTAATGGCATGAGTCGCCACGCCAGAAATCGGTTTTACGTACGCCTATAGATGTTTCACATCAATAACTAAATAAAAAAAATATTTTCAAGTTGCTGCAAATACTTTTTTCTGGACATTATGGCATCTCACTGGTGTGTGGCGTTACACGTCTGTCATTATAACGTCAAACGATACAGTATAATGTATTTACTTTGACCGGAAGTGTACTAGTGTGTGACGTTATTAAAGTCTTCGCCAATCCCAGGCGTTTTCGTTCACGTGACCATAGAACAGAAAAATCATTTCTATTTAATTATAATCTTTTATTTTTAAATTTACTAATTATTTATTCTCTCAGAATAGTAAAATCGCTGCTAATATTCATATTAAATACAGATGCCAACAATTAGTACTTAATTTTTCTAACTGCCAAACAAATACATCAAACAAACAAACTTTTTCTTAACCGTTGGATAGGACACCCTCAAACCATTCTTTAGGTATATGATGCTAACCTAATCTCGCTTGTTGCTACGGTTACATACATATCTCGGGTCATCTCCCATGACACGTGTTTTACACTACATAGCGAAGGATCGCAGATGCACAAAACGTGTCATAATGATGATTATTCATAATGAGATGACGTAATAGCCCATTAATTAACGAAATATAAGTACGTAACGCACGTACGCGTAATCGCCAAAACTCGACTTATCGAACTCGAACAGGAAAATAATTAAATGATGAAACATTTTTTAGTATTGATTGACACAAATCAAAAAGCTTGTTAATAGATAAATTCTAGCAGAAATTATGTACAATCAGTCAATTTGATTCCTGACCCATTATAAGCTTATTTTGTTACAACCATTTCAAAACAATAAGGTAGATTTTTGCTTAAATGTATCCTTGAATCAAATTTTTTAAACAATCTTATTTGAAGACAGATTTTTCCGCCTTCCTGTGATGTTATTTTGACATTAAATTATTTCGAGTTTTGCCGACGGACTAAAAATTTCCCTATTATATAGTTTACCAACGTTTTTTATAATTCAAGAAATCGAAAGAGTTTGTGTTACATTTACGATTTCGAATTTCAAACTACTATTCCAATTTTATTTACAACATAATCTATTGCATATAAAATAAATGTAAAATTTTAAATATCTTTGATCCATATTAACAAATTCCTTGTTATTAGAAGGCAATCCCCCCCTTCCTACATTCTGAGAACCTTTAAGATAGGCGTGAATAAGCATTTCTGCAGGCGGCCAGCAAGGCGGAAGTGCAATTACGCATTCTGTAGAAAGGAAAACGTGTCTGTTTTGTCATTTATAAGCGAATATCGGGCAAGTGGATCAGGAATCAATTAGTTCGATCGTACTTTAGATATGCCGAATTCAGACCCTATGACTTTGGCTGGGCTTAATATGTTTTAGCGAGGTGTTCAATATTAGTAAATGCCTTTGAAAATTGTCTAGAAAATGGCTTATTACTCTGATTTACCCTCACTTAATCGAATCTTCGAGATATGATTGGTTTTGTAATTAAAATATATAAATTTCGATTGGTTAACAGATCGGCGTAGTTGACTTACCTATTCACATCGGCTTGCCTGGTAGCCATGCACAGAAATAAGTAGGCAAGCCTACCTTGGCATATTCTGTGTGTTAAAAACTATCAGTTGAGATAAAACTCATTCGTTTATCAAAAGAGTGAAGGTGATGAAAGAAAAATGATTAAAATTAATTAAATTACAAATAGCTATGAACACTTTTCGATAGGCAAATCGTCATAGGCATATTTGTTTATAAATCATATTTGATATGAAATATGTCTCATCGAGTTATCAGATCGGTGAAGGTCGACCTCCCACCGGCTCTAAGGCCCGTATTACAGAATGACAACTAAGTGTCGATCTTTACTTGAGTACGTGAGAGTAGAAAGGGTTATCGCTATGTGCTTTAAATAGCGACATCACTTTCTAACTATGCTTAAGACTAGATTAATCACAATTTGCTGAAATACAGGATGAAAATCCTAGTTCGGCAGCAGATGCTAAAGATTGTCTTTTATATTCTTAAGCTCATATACGGTGTCTATAGTTTATAAGACGTAATGTTACTTATATGCTGGTCTAAATAAAGAATATATTATTAAAGATTATTAATTTTTCTATAATACAGGCCTTAGTCTAAAATTATTAACTCTTAACATAAACTCACCAAACTCTCCGTCAGCTCTCCACCGCTGACGATCAACCCTTTAATAACATTATATCTATACTCGTCATAGTTCAACAACTGCACGAATCTCGGCATAGTATGTCCTGGAAAGAGCCACAGCACCACGTTGGAATTCTCACTGGCAGTCGGTTCTGTTTCATCCTCTTGTTCTTTGGGCTTAAGTTCTACTTCCTCGCAGGGAAATATGCGTTTAAGCGCGTCGTGCTGTGGTATGTTAGTTATGAGCGGGTCGCTAAAATATTGAGAAATGAATTAGAATAACTATATTAGTACGTCAATCATCACCATCATTAAAATATAATGTATTTTCGTTGTAATGTATTTGGGGGTGAAATAATAAAATTGCCAACGAATATCTATTAAAGGGCTGATTTTTTATTTTCAAAAAAAAAAACTGAATTACCAATTAAATATAAGTTATTTTTATTGCACAATCAAACAGAAATGCCATCTGCACAATCAAAAATTAACGAAAAGCTAACAACTCTTAATTTGTTCGTATAAATAAGAACTCCATGAATATCCTTCTTTTATATATACATCTAATATTAAAAATTCTCGTATCACAGTGTGCTTAATTGAACTCCTCCGAAACGTCTCGACCGATTTTCGTAAAGTTTTATATGGGCATATTCAGTAGGCCTGAAAATCGGCCAACATCTTTTTTCATCCCTTAATTTTTTTTGGATCCGCCCTTGCAGCTAATAAATATATTATAAGGAGCATACGGGCAGACGGCTCACATGATGGTAAATGATCACCGTCGTCCATAGACCTCACATCATCTCATCTACAACACCAGGAATATTACAAATGCGATGCCGGCCTTCAAGGACGGAGTACGCCCTTTTATCCAGGGATTGAAAAAACATACCTAAAGTTTCTTAGAAATAAAGATCAAAAAAGTTTTACTTGTAAATCAAGGCGGTGAATATTCGTCCAGCGTGCGCTCTAGTTCTGTCAATCTTCTCGACCGCTTGCTGCGCTATGCCTCGCATTATGTTCCTAATTACTTCCGACGAGTTTAGGTGCGGAGCTTCTATTGCACATTGTCGACAGAGTGCTAAGAGGCCTGACAGAGAAAAAATAATCATCATCAGCCTATTAATGTCCCCACTGCTGGGATACAGGCCTTCCCTATGGATGGAATAGGGAGTTTGGGCCACGGCCCACCACGCGGGCCCAGTGCGGATTGGTGGGTGCTAACGACTGCAGATGCAGCCGGGACCAACGGCTTAACGTGCCTTCCGAAGCACGGAGGAGCTCGAGATAGTAAATTTTTTGGTCACCCATACAATGACCGACCACTGCGAAAGTTGCTTAACTTCAACGATCGCAGCTGAACGAGCTAACCACTTGCACCGTAGAGCTACTCCAGAAAAAAAAATGATTAAGCCATCAGTACAAATACACAAAATATAGGTAGGTATGTTCAGTAACTCGATTTACATACCACCCATTCAACATAATTAAAATGAAAGAAAAGTTATGAAAAAATGTCATAACAGGAATCTATATTGGTAGCTAATAACTCTTTTTTAAAATGAAAAATACACATGGTGAATCTCAATCGCGTATGACTATTAGGTTTTGTTTAAAATGAACTGTATGCGCGGTTAGTAAGGCCATTCAGTAAAGCTTTGGTTATTTTTTCAAGCATCTAATTTGCAAAAACCTAAACACAATAATATAATTCACATTTTTTTCATTTGTCTGTAACTGAACTTCTACTAAGCGGCTAAACTGATAAAAAATAATCTTAAAGCAATAAAAAAGCGCTGCTGTAAACTATTTTAAACCTAAGAAACAAAAACATCCGTTATCAGTTATAAAATCTTGAATGCGATATCGATACTATCGATAGTATTGTAGGTCGGTAATAACAAACTATCGATAGTATCGATACTGTCGATTTTATTTGCAACTATACTATCGATAGTTTAACAATTTGCAATAGTATTGTTTACAATTTTCAGGTATTATAGTCAATCACAATCAACTATTAGAATTAGCACAGCTCGATAGAAACGTTTATAAAAATATATATATCGGGCTCTAATAGTCCTCAACTACAATACGGTTAAAACATACTAATACTATTGCAAATTGGTAGACTATCGATAGTCTAAAACAATCGCTAGTATCGATACTATCGATAGTATTGTTGCAGATAAAATCAACGGTATCGATAGTATCGATACTATCAATAGTTTGTTATTAACGAACTACAATAGTATCGACAGTATCGATACTATTGCACTCATTCGATAGTATTGTCTTGTTCTGTGCTATCTATAGTTTCGATACTATCGATTGTATCGATTCTATCGATAGGCCTATCGATAGGGTACATGATTTTCGATGTAAACTGTCGATAGTTTTCATATCGATAGTTCGGCAACACTAAATGCGGAACTTACCAGTCATACTAGCTTCCCTCACCCAAGCCCCTATATCACCCCTCATATCGATAGTATATTCGGATAAACAATGCAGCAGGGCCTCAACGATTTGTCCCACATATTTCTCAACGCCATTCACTATTCCTTGAGTGTGGCACACTTCAGTCAGACCGATCACTGCATCTCGTCGACCTTCTGCCCACTTCAGAGTGTTCTCGGATACTTTAGCGCAATCTATTAGCGACTGTATGATCAAAGGCAGTTGTTCAGAAAGCACGGATTTAGGCAGTGAACCTGTAATAAAAGGTTTCGTGTATTTCGTTCTTTCAATCGAGAATTGATGTTCAGCACCTCACCGTCTAATGTAAAAGTTCTGATACGAAACGCAACTCAGAATCAATCGATCATTAAATGAGAGAGCACTTAAGCTTTTGGGATTAACTTGACCTTGCACCTTGTGAAGTACTGCCACCATACCCGAGCCCTTTATATAGGAACCTCTAGGGCAGCCGATCAGATTAGTGAAAAAAATCGTTTGTAAGAAAAACTCGAGCGCGACAAATTAATGTAAGGTAAGTTAATTGAGTGCAGAAAAGTGCGCATTTAAATAATCTGGTGGGGGATTATATATCATACAAACTTTTTTCTTTTTAGCATCTAACCGTCACAATCCGTTAGTTCCCCACGATGCTCCAGTGAAGCCCTATTTAGCAAAATGTTACTTATAGTAGGGTATGTACTACGAGTATACGTAACATTTTACTTTGCAGACAAAAATAAAAATAATATCTAAAATTTGTTTGAACTATAGCGCCACTCATGTTCACCTACCCAAGTAAACCAGCAACATTAGACACTATAATGTCTTTAAAGCAAAAGAACTAGTTAAAGTACACTAAGGGTATGAAAAAAAGATCTTGACGATACAACTCATTATTAAACATACCGACAGCTCGTGAATATCCCATTCTTAAAACGAGCCCATTGACCCCAGTGTTAGTCAGCTGTTCGCAGTACTTTTCGATGAGTTCCATTCGTTTCACCTTAGCTGTCTTATCCCCATACACTAGTTTATCGTCCCGCAAATACTGATCGAAGACCAAGGGAAGTGCGTAGATTGCCTTCTCGCGAATGGCTTGCACTTCGTGTGACAGACATTCTTCTATCAAATTTAACCATTCATCTGTAAAGTTGGGAAATTTTTTAGAGGTAACGTATAGATTTTTAAAATAAATAATAATAATCACCTTTATTTAGACCACATTTAGTAACGTTGTGTCTTATAATATATAAGCTTACAAATATTAAAGAAAATCTTCAGCATCTGCTGTCGAACAGGGATATATAGTAAATAATAGACTTTATATAATATATAACACATATATTATATAATAATATTATATATTATGTAATATAATATCATAATCTAATAAATGCATCATAACAAATTACTACACTAAAAAAATAACCACAAAAGTTTGATTCAAATATTTTGGGAATAAATTTGTTAAGGAAATTATAATTTTACAAAAACTATTTACATCATCAGAAAAGAAAACAGAAAATCAAACAGTATAATCATTAAATGAGAATCCCATTAAGAAAAACAATTAAGAATGTATATCATAAAAAAAACATCATCAGCCTACATCATTAGCAGTGCATACAATGACTGCAAATGCAGCCAGGACCAACGGCTTAACGTGCCTTCCGAAGCACGGATCCAATGACCGGCCATAGCGAAAGTTGTGACACGATCGCAAACCGAACGCGCTTACCACTTGTGCCATCGAGCTCTTTAATTTTTTTACTTACATATGATTTTCAAACTTTTATACTGAAACTTATGACAAAAAATTCTACCGAGGTCCAAGCACAAATTTTGACAACTCCGTAAGTAGTTTTTCCGCATATAGCAATAAGTCGTAAAATACGAGCTTGCATTTCTAACTGTCATAACCTTTTGACGCAAGCGTTTTAATTAAGACCTTATACAGTATGTATTAAAGGTGACTTTCAAGGTCTAAATAATGCCTTATATTGTTTTTTAGCACGCGATCATCTTACGGAGCTCTGTGGGTCATCCAATGTACCTTTTGGACAGGTTTCGGTCACGACTTCGTTCGTGTTGTTGTATCTAGGGTATTTATTATCGTTGATGACATTACGATTACGGAGCTGTCAAGATTCTTGCTTGGCTCCAACCATAGACTACTTGCTAACATACCTATAGTAGGGTGCGAATGGTAAGGCACGGCAGCCAGTGACAGCAGAGCTATACACTGGCAGCACGCCTGCCGCATCAACTCTCCGCCGAGACCGCGGAATTGTTGTCTAGCTCTCAAACGAGGCACTAATTCTCGCACGGCGATAGAAATGTCTTCTGATATCAGAGAATCGGCAGGTTTGCCTGCAAACGGAAGCGAGTTTTTTGTACATTTATTGTGTACCTTACAGTATGTATGTTTTATCAAATGTCTGCCGGGTCACCGTTGCAGAAGTATTATCTAGGATTAAGCGGGTAGGGTCATTTCGCCAAACCATGGAGCAGCAGTAAGAACAAACTCACTTTTTATAAAATTCGCCAGGGTGCATTGAAATTCATTTCAAATTCGTGTACTAATTTTAAATCATACCGCGGATTCAGAGGTGTGTTTGTTCTTACAATAGTACTACTGGACGAAATGAGTGGCAAAGAGTCTCCCATATCTCCGTGCTACTCCCCGTGGGCGGGAAAGGCTTCAAGCCTTTTTCTATATATGAATAAAAGGCACTGATGAGATGAATCAGCACGCCAAGAGAGAAGTTTATTTCCTATATCTCAGAATAGTAATCAACAACATCGAAATCGATAGTTTTTTCATTTCACAAACAGGTGCGACCCCTGCTGCAAGCTCTTGACGGAAATGAATGGAATTCAGTTAAAAGTGGCGGCAACTAGTGGCCGCTACTAAGCCACTAGCGACTGCGTTTGGTGGCTGCGTGTAGTGGCTTGACTGAGCCACTAATGTCTGAATGTTGCTCTTTAAGGTTACAATCACTCACCATCAGACAATTTGATTTGGGACAGAGCGTGGATGGCTTCTCCGATAGCGAGTATGGCACCATGACGCACATTCAAATCTATAGACTCGCTTTTCTGCACCAATTTTGGTAATATCACAGCTGCTACATACTCGGGAATCTAAAATCAAACAAACTTTAAACAAGCACACAACAAGTACATTTATTGTTTATACTAATTATTTGTGTCACTTTATATCACTATTCTAATATCCATAGAAAAGTTTTAACCATGCACAAGGCTCGATTGAAATAAGAGAAACCATGAACAACTTCTGAGAAAAACTTATACACTTTTTGTGAACGTTATTTGGCTGGATGAAGTACTTTTAATAAGTAATAATCATTACTCAATAAAAACTTACTTTAGTCATTTTCACATAAAATGATTTTACAAATTAATACATATAAAGACTTAAAAATACGCAGTAAAAATTACATTAACCTAGCTTACGCCATAAAAAGTTCTAAACTGACACATTGACAGAGACTTCACAAATTATTTCTTTTTTCAAATTATTAAATCGGTATAAAAAGAATATAGTTTTTATTCTCTAAATTTTCGTGGTCACTAACATTATAGTAATTTGTTATTTAAGCGACCGATATGTCTGTCTATAACATCCTACCCGCAATTACTTGAGTTACTCCGTGATTATGGCGTTTGCATCAGTGCCGAAATATCAGAAACTCGCAAAAAACAAGTTATATGGTTGCAATCCCGTATATAACATAATTACTATACTTATTCTCTAAAGTCTAAACTAACCTTAGGTGTCAATTTGTTGAGAGCCTTAGCGGCCAGTTCCCGAATGGCACAATCCCAATGTTCCACTTTCAAATCCACGAGATGGTCTATGAGTGGCTGAGTGTATTCCGGGTAATCGGCAACTTGCGGCGCGATCACAAGGAAAGCGTTATTCCTGGGGCCGACCGTTTGAAAGTCAGCAGTGGTCAAAACGTCTATGCCGTGAGGGAACATACCGTGCCTACCAACGTTTTCCTGATATGCCGCGGAAGCTGCTCGTCGACAATTTATCTATACAGTATTTAAACAAAAAAAAATGTGAATGGCAGTAAAAGTTAAAAATTTAACAAAAAGTAAGTACACTCGGCGTTAGAAAATCGCACCGCCGCGAAAATAACTTTTAGGCGCTTTGCAGACGACGGGGCGGGGCGGGCTTTTTGTCCGCGAAGCAATAAAGACCGCGTCTGCCCGTCAATGTCTGCGGCTGCCCGCGCCGCGTACACAAAGCACACGATGGGCAGAGGCAGTCAGTTCAGGACGTTCGTTCTAGTGAATAGTCCATCACTAAAAAGCGCGTGGCGCGACTGAGCTAGCCGCCCCGCGCCGCCGCCTGCGTTACTGCATACGAACTGGTTTGTATGATCCACAGCGGGCAGCCGCGGACATGCCGCGCCGCCACTGCCCGCCGGGCACCTGCGGCGCGGTCTTTTTGCCTTCTGTGTGCGTTTGAAGTATAGGATTCACTTTGTGCTATTATTCGCGGCGAAATTGACCGGCCCGCCCCGCCCCGTCGTCTGCAAAGCGCCTTAAGCGTTATTTTAATAACTTTTAAACTTTATTTTAATAACGCTTGAAAGTTATTTTCGCGGAGGTGCGATTTTTTGACGTCAAGTGTAGCTTTCATTGTATGGACGATTTTTTAAATGCTAAAATGAAAGTGCGCGGTACTTGCGCATTATATATACACTCCCGGACTCTTGAATCGAGCTACCTTACATTCCCGGGCCTAAAAGCCCAATACACAAAAAATATACAATATAACAAAAAAGTTTTTATGCATTTTTAATGCTGGCATATTTCATCGTCTTTCCCATATTTATTATTCCAAATTAGAATTTTAGAATTTAAAATAAAGAACAAAAGCCGATCTTGGTCACTGATTTGAAAAAAATAATGACTGTTGAAAGTTGCTTTTGAAGCAATTTAATGTCGATTTGGTTTGAATTTTACGCAATTGTTGTAAAACAAAGTTTAGTTTTGTTATTTTTCTAAAATTTGAACCGTTTTTGGCTATAAAATTATGGATACTTCACCTGAAGTAGCCGCGCAAGCTGTAGCACTTCTTCAATGTGGGCTAAGTCAGCGAGATGTGAGTTCACAACTTCACATAAGTCGTTCCGCTCTTCAAAGAGTGTACCACCGATACCTGGAGACGGCTTCCTTCGGCGAACAGGAGGACCTCGTTACCGAGTGACAACAGCGAGACAAGATCAATACATTGTCACTTCTAGCTTACGAAATCGACGCCTTAACTCTGTTCAGATACAAGAACAGCTCAGGGACTTTCACGGAGTGGCTGTCAGTGCTCGGACCGTTAGAAGGCGACTCAATGAACGTGGTTTAAAGCCCCATAAGCCATCCAATGGACCGAAATTGACACGAGCACACCGAATAGCCCGTCTAGAGTTTGCGCGCGAACATCTAAATTGGACTCGACATCAATGGAGCCAGGTCCTCTTCACAGATGAGTCCAAGATAATGCTATACGGTAATGACGGAAGGAGTAAGGTGTACCGAAGACAGAACGAGCGTTTCGCGCAATGCTGTATTGACGAGAAAGTGAGTTATGGTGGAGGATCATGGACAGTCTGGGGAGGAATCTCTATGGAAGGCAAAACTGAAGTAGTGACGGGACCACGACTGCCGCCCCTAGATGGCAATAGATACATTCGCCAATGTTTAGAGAACCACGTGATGCCATACGCTGGATTTATTGGCCAAGATTTCGTTTTAATGCATGATAATGCAAGGGCCCATACTGCGGGAATCGTCAGGGAGTACTTAAATGACATTGGTATCACTGTTATGAGATGGCCAGCGCGAAGTCCTGATATGATATGATCCTGTAGAGCATCTATGGGATGAGCTGGAGAGGCGTGTTCGAGCTCATCATCTTGCCCCGCAAACCATGCAGGAGCTCAAAAATGTAATTTTGGAAGAATGGGGGACATTCCTCTACATTTTTATAACGACATTGATTAATTCTATGCCAAACCGTATGAGAGCTGTCATAAATGAACTGGGAGGCAATACAAGTTACTAAATAAACATTTCATGTAAAACATGTCTTTATTTAATAATCGATTAGATTTTTTCCTTGAAAAAAGCAAATATGGACTTGTTTCAACGTAACTCGACTTTTTTAATAAACTGTAGTTCAAATTTAGAACAGTGGCACTCTAAATGAATGATGAGTATACCAGCTCCAAAACTGCATCAAAACATTTTCCTTCTACATACATCTTTTATAAGTTACAGTACTCCAAACCAAAAAAATCAAGGTGGCTCGATTTAGGTGTCCGGGAGTGTATTATATTCCTTGCAAAGTGGCAGATGATATGATGAGAAGATTTTTTTATAGCCACTAAGATTTTTTTAAAGTTTTAGTGACTAATGTTGTGCCTATAAACAAATGCTGTATGCACCTTAAAAAATAATTCACACAGACATGTGTTTTAATAACCCCTCGGCTGTGTAGCCATCTACTTTGTTTTTCACGGCCGGTAAAACAATTTAATAGAAAATAGCAACATATCTACACACATCAAAAAAAGTTTAAGATCACTTGCAAAAGCTGATATATTTTCAAAATTTAACTTAATCAAGAGAATTTTTTTACGTTATATATTTTTTTTATTTAAAAGTACACTTTCTGAGATTAAAAAATAAAACTAATTTTATTTTTTAGTATAAATAAATAATAAGTCCTTAAGCTCGGTGATCACAACTCTTCAAACCACTTGAATGAATGAATGAATGATTAAAATTAAGAAAAAGGGTATTGAATGAGAATAACAACTTACCTCTCTATCGAAGCACGCGGTGGCGATGAGGGCGTTCGCTAACGTATTAGCGTGTGGCGCCAACGCTTGCGCGTCGTACGCCCTCGCGAACGCCCAAGCAGCATGACAGGCGGAGTCCCGCGCCGCCCGACTGCCTCCTCCGCCCGCCGCGCGCGGCTCGTCGCGGCACAACGCGCGCACTACGGCCCCCACCCCCGCGCCTACCTGCTGCGGCGACAGTAGCCCGCGCCGCGCTACCCACACAGAGAGACACTATGAGCGGTCATATTAAAACGCCCCGCGGCGTGACTAGCGGAGTCGCGCCCAGCCCGCCACCCGCGGCTCGTGCGAATCAACGCGCGCACTACGGCCCCCACCCCCGCGCCTACCTGCTGCGGCGACAGTAGCCAGCACCACGCTGCCCACACACAGAGACACTATGAGCGGTGATATTAGAACGCCCCGCGGCGTGACTAGCGGAGTCTTGCCCAGCCCACCACGTGCGGCTCGTCGCGGCAAAACGCGCGTACTACGGCCCCCACACCCGCGCCTACCTGCTGCGGCGACAGTAGCCCGCGCCGCGCTACCCACACACAGAGACACTATGAGCGGTGATATTAGAACGCCCCGCCGCGTGACTAGCGGAGTCGCGCCCAGCCCGCCACACAGAGACACTATGAGCGGTGATATTAGAACGCCCCGCGGCGTGACTAGCGGTGTCGCGCCCACCCCGCCACGCGCGGCTCGTCGCGGCACAACGCGCGCACTACGGCCCCCACCCCCGCACACTACGGCCCCAACCCCCGCGCCTACCTGCTGCGGCGACAGTAGCCCACGCCGCGCTACCGAAACACAGAGACACTATGAGCGGAGATATTAGAACGCCCCGCGGGGTGACAGGCGGAGTCACGCGCCGCCCGACTGCCTCCACCGCCCGCCGCGCACGGCTCGTCGCGGCACAACGCCCGCACTACGGCCCCAGCCCCCGCGCCTACCTGCTGCATCGACAGTAGCCCGTGCTACCCCCACACAGAGACACTATGAGCGGAGATATTAGAACGCCCCGCGGGGTGACAGGCGGAGTCACGCGCCGCCCGACTGCCTCTACCGCCCGCCGCGCACGGCTCGTCGCGGCACAACGCGCGCACTACGGCCCCAGCCCCCGCGCCTACCTGCTGCATCGACAGTAGCCCGTGCTACCCCCACACAGAGACACTATGAGCGGAGATATTAGAACGCCCCGCGGGGTGACAGGCGGAGTCACGCGCGGCTCGTCGCGGCACAACGCGCGCACTACGGCCCCAGCCCCCGCGCCTACATGCTGCATCAACAGTAGCCCGTGCTACCCCCACACAGAGACACTATGAGCGGAGATATTAGAACGCCCCGCGGGGTGACAGGCGGAGTCACGCGCGGCTCGTCGCGGCACAACGCGCGCACTACGGCCCCAGCCCCCGCGCCTACATGCTGCATCAACAGTAGCCCGTGCTACCCCCACACAGAGACACTATGAGCGGAGATATTAGAACGCCCCGCGGGGTGACAGGCGGAGTCACGCGCCGCCCGACTGCCTCCACCGCCCGCCGCGCGCGGCTCGTCGCGGCACAACGCGCGCACTACGGCCCCAGCCCCCGCGCCTACCTGCTGCATCGACAGTAGCCCGTGCTACCCCCACACAGAGACACTATGAGCGGAGATATTAGAACGCCCCGCGGGGTGACAGGCGGAGTCACGCGCGGCTCGTCGCGGCACAACGCGCGCACTACGGCCCCAGCCCCCGCGCCTACATGCTGCATCAACAGTAGCCCGTGCTACCCCCACACAGGGACACTATGAGCGGAGATATTAGAACGCCCCGCGGGGTGACAGGCGGAGTCACGCGCCGCCCGACTGCCTCCACCGCCCGCCGCGCGCGGCTCGTCACGGCACAACGCGCGCACTACGGCCCCAGCCCCCGCGCCTACCTGCTGCATCGACAGTAGCCCGTGCTACCCCCACACAGAGACACTATGAGCGGAGATATTAGAACGCCCCGCGGGGTGACAGGCGGAGTCACGCGCCGCCCGACTGCCTCCACCCCCGCCGCGCGCGGCTCGTCGCGGCACAACGCGCGCACTACGGCCCCAGCCCCCGCGCCTACCTGCTGCATCGACAGTAGCCCGCGCTACCCACACACAGAGACACTATGAACAGTGATAAGATAAGAAGTCCCCTCAGCGTGACAGGCGGAGTCGACCGCCGCCCGACTGCCTACCAAATAGTGATATTCTCATATTCGTCTTCAAATTTCAGATTTTCTTCTTAACCTGAACTTGTGTTGGATAAGGGATAACACTATAAGCAGTGGGATTAAGAGATGCCCTACAATAGCGAACGCATAGGGGACATGACGAGCAGAATGCGCGCACGACACGCATGATAAAAAATTACGATAATGATACCCTTAAGCATTATTAATAATCATACATTTTCTGCTTTAATACAATCACGGTTTAGCAATTATCAAAAATAAAAAAGGCAAGTTTCATGAAGCACTGTACAGAGAGCCCCAAAGAATCTTAAATAACAAAAATAAAAGCTTACCAAGTTCAGCGAGCGCCATACAGCCGCCATGCCAGGCGGTTTCCCGCTCATTATCAGCAAATAGTCCCAGCACACATTCGCACACATCGGCCGCTGCTAGCGCTGGCAGTCGCGCTCCAATGCGACCGATGCCTTTAGCCGCAGACCATCTCACCACCGTATCGTCGTCGCGAAGGGAACAAAGGAGAAGTTCCACAACATCCTCCACCTGATTAACAATTTAGACAATAGGACAGACTTGACGTATTTTCAAAAGACAAACACAAAACGGTTGTAATGTTACAGTAAAATAAATTTAACATCAAAAATTTAACAGCGCCCCTATACGACCGATGCTTTTAGCCGCAGAGCATCTCACTACCGTATCGTCGTCGCGAAGGGAACAAAGGAGAAGTTCTACAACATCCTCCAAGTGAAGAACAATTTAGACAATGGAACAGAGCTTATCGTATTTTCAAAAGACAAAACACATAACGGTTGTTACAGTAACATAAATTTAACATCAAAAATTGGACTGTGCCCCTATACGACCGATGCTTTTGGCCGCGGGTACCATCTCACTACCTTATCGTCGTCGCGAAGGAAACACAGGAGAAATTCCACAATAACTGATGAACAATTAGGACAATGGATTTATAAGACAGATCTAGACTGATTTTCAAAAGGAAGAACACAAAAGGGTGGGAATTTTACAGTGAAATACATCTAACATCAAAGATAAGACCGCGCGCCTATACGACTGATGCTTTTAGCGACAGACTATCTCACCACCGTATCGTCGTCGCAAAGGGAACATAGCAGGAGTTCCACAACATCCTCCAACTGATGAAAAAATTGTACAATGTATTGATACAACAGAGCTAGACGGATTTTCAAAATAGAGAACACATAAAAGAAGGAATGTTACAGTAAAATAAACCTATCATCAAAGATTGGAACGCACGCAAATACGACCAATGCGTTAAGACGCAGACCATCTAGCCACGGTATCCTCGTCGCGAAGGGAGCACAGCAAGAGTTCCACAACATCCTAAACCTAATGAACAATTTGGACAAGGCATTGTGAGAGAACAAAACAGGACAACGAGGACTTCTTGGATTGTGAAGATTATATAGATGCTAAAAATAAAAAAGTTTATATGATGTATACGCTTTCGCTGGTGGGGAGTGTGTACAGATTTGTTAGCCCTGAAGACCACACATTGAACAAGTAATACCTCTTGAGGGATATCCTGATCGTCATCATCTAGGGGCGCAGTAATATGCTCGGTGTCCCAAGCGGCCACCACGATACAACGCGCGGGCGTTAGTAGTACCTCTTGAGGGATATCCTGGTCGTCATCACCTAGGGGCGCAGTAATAGACTCGGTGTCCCAAGCGGCTGCCACGATAAAACGCGCGGGCGTTAGAATGTTAGCACTGAAGACCACATATTAAACATGTAGTACCTCTTGAGGGATATCCTGGTCGTCATCATCTAGGGGCGCAGTAATAGGCTCGGTGTCGCCAGCGGCCGCCACGCCGCCCAGTGTGATGGCGAGGAAACGCGACCCACGAGTATAACGCCACGATACAACGCGCGGGCGTTAGAATGTTAGCACTGAAGACCACATATTAAACATGTATTACCTCTTGAGGGATATCCTTGTCGTCGTCATCTAGGGGCGCAGTAATAGGCTCGGTGTCGCCAGCGGCCGCCACGATACAACGCGTAGACGTTAGAATGTTAGCACTGAAGACCACATATTAAACATGTATTACCTCTTGAGGGATATCCTGGTCGTCATCATCTAGGGGCGCAGTAATAGGCTCGGTGTCGCCAGCGGCCGCCACGCCACCCAGTGTGACGGCGAGGGAACGCGACCCACGCGTATAACGCCACGATACGACGCGCGGACGCAAGAATGTTAAGCCTGAAATGTTGTATAATGTCCTTAAAGCCAGGTCTGTGATGACATTAGCCCTGATAGAAACATCAGTTCAGTCCCCGTAGCATGAGCAGCACAATTTACGTTATATCACGTTTTTTATCGCGTCTCACTGTCAAAATCCGTAGTAATTTGACAATTCAGGGTAATAAAAACGAGCCATTTATCGTATCGCGGTGCTCATGTTAGGGGGCTGGAAGGAACATAATTCCTGATAGAAACATCATTGCTTATAAGATATTTGATTAACAGCAATCCTGAAAGGGACAAGTTATTCAATCAGTGTTAATCAGTTATTGGTTACCTGTTATTATTAACGTTTTTTTAGGATTGTAAAACTGTTGATTCACCAGTTAAAATTAAATGAAAATAAATAAGATAACATTAAAGCTTATAGGCAACATGATATAACACTGCTGAAAGAAACAATTGCTTATAGAAATTACGAATATAACTAATGTGAAACTTTGTTTGTTTGTAGGTTTACTACTCAATCACGCAAAACTGCTGAACGGTTTTGGATAAGATTTGGTAAGCATATAGTTTATGATCTGGATTGAGACAGAGGATACTTTTTATCCCAGAAAAATGTTAGGTTCCAGTGGGATTCCCAATAAAACTAATGCTAAATCGGACGAAGTCACCGGAACAATAAAGCAGAAATATCAATACTGATAGGAACATCATTCTTGTTTCAGAAAGAAACATCATTGCTAAAAAGAACATCATTCCTGCTTCATTTTCTTGGACAATTAAAGTGCAGTTATTTTTTTTTTAATTGCTCAATATACTACATGACGCTTAAAAGCCTCACAGGTTTTATAAAGAAGCCTTGCTGTTTTCTGCCTCAATCCGTTTTTTTTTTTAATTTTTGCCAATCAACCGCTAAGGATTTGTAATTTACTACATACACAGCATTTGAATAGCTGTTCTTTAGCTTCCTCATGAATTCTTACCTATTCTTTGCACTATCTTCACTCCATATTTTCTCACCAACATAGCTTTATGTTGTTTGTAATTTTGATCAGTGACCCATTTCAATAGCTTGGGAGCAAATTGCAATAAGTCATCCCTCTTGCCATGCTTAAGAACTGCAGCAACAGCTGCCAACACACCATAGCGAATTTTTTCTTCCTCTTGCAGATTGGAATGTAGTTCACAGGCCCAGTCAAAAAATGCACCCATATATAAATCTTTTACATCTGATCTGAAAGAATTTCAAACAACTTTAAATATTTGCTCTTTTTATATAGTGTTAAATATATAGTACAGACAAATTTTAATCTTACAAATTTTACAATTCACAAAGTTCTAAAAAAATCAAATCAGAATCAGTTAAAAAAATATTTAATAACCTAAATTAGGTATTACCTTATAAGAAACTTAGAAACTAAAAAAGCACTGGCTTCAGCACATGAATCTTTACTCAAAGCATATGTTTTGCATATGTTAAAGATTCTCTCCATTACTGTCAGTTTCTTAGAAGAACCGGCATCTGAAATATTGTTTTTATATGATTCAGTGACCTGTAACTTGACTACATATTTGGCTATGTTAGTTTAAATCTTCTTTCATATTGGTGGTCTTAATAGGTTTTTAATATTTTTGATAATACAAAAAAATATAAGTATTCTTTAGTAAAGTTACTGCTACTCAACACAATAGGGTTATATTTCAAACATTGTGAATAGAGACAGAGAAAACTTGTATTGAGCAAGTAGACAGGAAAGCATAAAAGTATGGAATATGCTGTTTCAAATTGAATTTCCTTTCTTGATTGTTTACTTATTTGTGATACTATACATACAACTGAGCATAAATAGTTATTTATTATACAAGAGTGGAAAGTTCCTTTTTAACCGCGTGCTCGATTTGGATGACCGAGCAAGCGAAGGATTCTAAAGTTGAATCACGAGCGCAGCGAGTGATTCTAAATTAGAATCCTGAGCGTCAGCGAGGGAAACAAACGAGCACAAGGTGAAAAATCTTTCCACTCGAGTGCAATACGTAACTTTTCATCCCACCTCAGCGAGGAAATGACAAAATGAAAAAGAAAACAATTTATAATGACAAAATATTTTTATTTCAATTAAAACACATTAAGATAATCTATAAATTGAAGAAAATAATAAGAAGTAGAAAATAATTAAGAAATATTAAATGTAACGTTGCTACAGTTACTTATGTTAAGTTTAATATTTTTGTTAGGTAATGTTATGTTGGTGTTTGTGAATTGTGCGCTGTTTTGTGGTAAACTACTCGTATCAGTAATTTTAAATAGTTGTGCCGATTCATTGGATTCTATTGGCGTAAATGTTGGCGAGAGAGGGCTATTGTTTCCAATCTTATGGGGGCTCATTTTAGATGTAGAAGGGCGAGACCAAGAATCTGACAGAGGTTCTTTCAGCGTTATGGCCTCCACGATACTATTACAAATTTTTGATTTACTTTGGATTGAATCCTCTATGTATCCCTCTACAACCGAATTAGACTTCCAGCCTCCATGGCGCTTAAGCGATAGAAGATCAGCCCCTGATTCGGCCAAAAGTGTGGCTGAGGTTCTTCTAAAACAGTGACCGGTGTATAACGGGGGTTCTAAAAGTCCGAGTAAAGTTGCTATTTCTCGTGGAATACTGCCAATTTTATTCTGACCCATAGGTTGTCGGATACACTTTCCGTTGCGATATTGTAGAAAAAATCGTTCAATTGGGGTGTTAGAAGGACGTAAAGCTTGATATTTCTGAACAATGTTTACATATTCCTTGCGAATAACGAAGTTGCGGTCTTTTTTTGTCTTGGTATTTAGTACATTAATTAATAGCAATTCATCAGAATTATGAGAATATTTTGATACGTTATTGACATTAAGTAGTGTAAGTTCATTTGTTCGACATGCTCCGGTTATACCAATAATAAGAACAACCTGTAACAAAAGAAGTATTTATAATCGTAAATAAATTAATCAAATTAAAAATATTGTAAGTACTATGTACAATTTTATCAACAACAAAAAATTACACGTATTGACTTACTTTTGCCGCTAAATATACGGAATCAGGTGCTTCATTAATAAACTTTGCAATTTCAGATGCTGTGAAAACCTTCGATTTTTTTGGTTTATAACCAGATGAGGCTCTTTTTAAAAATGCCACTAATTTATGGTAGGTGTCGATATGAACGTCTTTCTTCATCTTAATTGTTAATTTTAGCATTGAATACGTACTCCATAGCGTGCTTGCTTTCTTGGTCTCAGATAATTCTATAAAATATGCCAGCAAAACGTTTTCGGAGAAAGTTTTTGCTCCTTTAGCTAGTCGCCACATGTTAAATATATCGTACTGTTTCAAATACTTCTCTCGTGATTGCTGAGGGAGAAGGCTCATTTGCGCATTATTAACTGTTTCAGTTAACTCAGTTGGCGTTAGATAAACTTCATCGTCGCTAATGTCACTCATTTTAGTTGATTTTTTTGTACAGTTTTTAGGTTATGTTAATTATATTAAGCAATAAAACGTGAAAAACTAGAATGGCGCGAAGCACGCAAATAAAACAAAGAAACCAAGAAGGTTCCAAATTTAAATTTTTTCACAATTTAAAAAGTTCTAATCATAAATTTGGCACCATAGAGGTTACATTAAATAGGTTTAATGACGTTTTGAATTTACAATTATATTGAGTACTCATTATATGTGATGTTCTAAATTCAAATCTACTTTGCCGCTCAAGCGAATAAAATAGAATTTTCCAGCCAGATTTCGAAGCGCAAAATTACACTTTCCGAGGTGGTGGGATGAAAAAAATATTACAATACTGCTACATAGGTGGTAAGGTGGTATTTGAGGATGATTCAAAAAAGCTTACTATTAATTCATCTTAAAAATGGATGTTTCTTCCATTTGATTTAATCTGATTTATTGCAAAATTTTGAAACTTACATATAGAGAGTAATACAAGTAGTACTATAAATAGATAGTAATACATGTAGCTTTTTAATATTTTTAAGCTGGACTTAGTAATAAAATTGCATTCTAATAAAAAAAATGTCAATTATTTTTATTCAATCCATAATCTATACCTGGCTGTCCTGGAGCAAAACCATCAAGACGGCTCATGTGAAATGGAATGATAACAACAATTGACAGCCAAAGCAAAAGGACAAATCGGCTCCTCCATGTTTCTTTATCATTGGGGTCTTGAGCTTCCAGGTATGAAAGCACTGTCATGAGATCTGCAACCTGTATTTTGAAACAAGCTGATTACTTTGAAGAGCTATAAGAAATAGGGTTTTATTTCATAATTGAATTTTACACATTTAAACTTACTTCATGTGGCAAGTGGCGTATAACTATTTTATATCCTCTTACTCGAATGATTTGGTACATGTAGTTGAAAGTGGCATGCTTTAATTCAAATGGAGAATCTTTATCTTTTATAAGACTTAAAAATTTTGCCAAAATTTTTTCTAAATGAGGATCAAGTAAATGTGGTTGTTCATAATACTGTTTCAATATATTGTATAATTTATCGTATTCTACTTCGAAAGAGGGAGTATTGTATATATTTTTTACGTTGTCTATCATATTCAATACTTCTTCCACTTCGGAAAAGTGCTCTAAAGCACAACCAAGTCCGATATTGTCACAGTCGTCGTCCCGGTTCATATCGACTTCAAATCCCACCATCTTTGGGCTCTTACAATTTCAGAAATGTGTTAGCATGAAACAACGAAAAAGAGATATGGATATAGAACGGTGAAAGCTTTATTCTACAAATTCTATTTAAACAAAATATCTGTTCATTAATTACACAAAAACAAAAAAAACTATTATACCGACATTGACAAATTGACAGACCACGTTCCTAACATACGCTACATGCGCAACAAATGTCAAATTGACTAGTTTTAAACGTTATACGCCAAATTTTTAACGTCAGGGTTAAAAGTTGCAGTCATGGGATAGGTTTGGAACGTAGCTTTGAGTGACAGTGACATATTTTTTTCTGGTTTAGTGTTGCCAATTGAGTTTCCACGGTATCGATAGAAGTCCGCGCCACCACTTATGTGGTACCACCACACCACACCACCTTTCTAGTATAGTACTTAAAACACAGACTTAGATTAATAATTCACATGACATGACAATGACAATATATTTCAATGACTATGAAATAACTATTGCATTAATGTGGGTACCCTCGCATAACGGAATTTTAGTTTTTTTTTTATTCATTAATAAAGCAAAACTTACCAAACATCCCAATATAGAAAAGGTCCTCCATACCGATTACGGTTTATATAAAAACAAGAATATATTTGAAGTAGCACACGTATTGATCGTAATCGTTATTTTTTTGCGACACGATAGTAATTACGCTGCAACGAAATAAAATCTAGAATCTCGTGTGATGGTATTTGCCTCTTTATTTGACATTTAAAAGCTTTAAAATAAAGTTGTAATTTACTATACCAATTACGGAGGTAGTAAAAGCCGCTCGATGTAAGCAGCTGACCTGATAACTAACTACGTAATTTGACTTATCTTGTTCTAACAATGCTCTGTTTAAATCAATGTATTGCCCATTAATAAATAAACCGATAAACAAACAAACGACTAAGTTCATTATGATGTTGATTCTGGCATAATTAACACAAAATATTTTTTTGACAACAGTCTATCCTTGTCATTCTCTATACAGAAAAAAAAGGATAGACTGATGTTAAATTAAGTTTAGTGAATCATGCATGCCAGAGTCGACACCTATGTATTGGTGTCGATTCCGGCATGATTCTCTAAACTTAAAGTTAAATTTAACATCAGTCTCTCCTTTTCACTCTGTATAGAGAATGAAAAGGCTACACTGTTGTCAAATTTAAGTTTAGGTTTAGAGAATCATGCCAGAATCGACACCATTGTTTATATTTTAAGTGTGGCTATTTACCTGCTTCGATATAAAGTACTTTTTATACATACATATTTCGACGACGACGAAAGAAAGATTTTGTTCAGTAAAGTTATAGATCGTGAATGATTGAAGTATTTGTTTTTTTTTTTATATAAAATATATTATTTATGTGTATATATGTATATTTGTTTTATCAAATTGCTATGCATATCGGCAGATGCACTTAACTTAATCTGGTTGAAAGTTTTTTAATAATATAAAATACCATTTATTATTTTTGACACTCGTTCGTCATTCTACGTCATACCAGAATACCAACTTTTCAGTTATTAAAACATCTTGTATAAACACCATGTTTCAGCAGGATTGAAGTGGCAGATCGGCTTTTGCATGAGAAAACAACGTTATTTTCCATTTTTGTAAGAGCTCCGATTCGCGACATGGATCAATACAAAATGGTGGCGGTCGCGCGTGAACTAGTTTTTATAAACGTGCTAGATCAATGGTCTTGTACCTTTTGACAGAGGGGTAATGCCTGTAATGGCGTCTCCCGTTATAGATACTATAAGAGGTATTGGTATCTGTTTCAGTAAATGCGACCCAGTTCTAATCTGTCAATTTTTGACATTTTTTTTTCTGACATTAGCATACACAAACGCTGTCTTGCTTGCATTTCATTGGATTCAATTATAATTCAGTAAATCGTGAGAAAATGAGATAAAAAGTCTTATTTCATTATTTTTTATGTGATAACATTAGATTTTGATACAATAATGAGCAACCGTTAGTAACTCGCAAATTCATTTGTCATTCAATTTCATTTAAATTTCGAGTTAAATTTCTATTGATTTTTTTTTACAACAGAAGGTCGTACTGTAGCTAAAAGGAAGGTGAAGCCGGTGGAGCCGCAATCTCTTCTCGACTTTGATCTTGGAGAGGGAGAAAGCTCTGATGATTCTGACTTTAGAATAGAAGACCACCCGGAAGACAGTGATGACTACTCCATAAATAGTGATGATGACGATAAAAGTGCGAATCTATAATTTTTATCAGGTTTTCTTGATATAAAATTCAAGTGAATTATTTAAATTGACTTATCAGGAGATATGGTCTATTGTGATTTATAATCAAAATCTAACTTTGCAGAGGACAATGCGGATTCATCTGATGATCAGTCAGGAACAGACACAGAAGATGGTTTCAAAAACTCAGCAAATAAGATTGGAGAAGATATATCGGTTACAGATCTACTTGAAAAAGCGAAGCAACAGGAATTTAAGGTTTACAATAATTATAAGAATTTACAACATAGTATGTGTGTGTGTGTGTGTTGGAATTAAATACTTAATTAATTGTTTATTTTAGATTCCATTTGATCTAGCCAACTTGCTGATCTGTGCAGGTTGTTTAGGATCAAGAAGTGATGATTTCAATGAAATAGTAGAGTGTGATGGATGTGGTGTTACTGTTCACGAAGGTTAGTATTTAGTTCAAAGGGTAAAAGTTTAAAAATAAGCTTCCTCGTTAGCAGAGGGGGGAGAGGAGGCTCTAAGGAGCCCCCCTTATTCCACCCCCGTCTGCTGGAGATTCGTAGCTTTTTCAGGAGAAAATTTGTTTAACAATCTCAAAATAAAATATGCATAAAAAGCAAGAGAGAGATGACATGGTAGGTTAGGGCTTGGGAAAACAGTAGTGGAGAGTGCACAAACAACACAAAAGCTTTTTTTTGATTATAAAAAATTACTTCAAATTTAAGGTCCTTACTTGTAATTTTTTTATAAAATCTAACCTATCAAGTCACCTACAGGACTAAGGCCAGTAAAACTGTACTTCCAGGGCCCAAAAAATTTTTAAAAAGGGTCGAAATAACACTTAAGGAAGCAGAGAACATTCACGGAAACCGAAACCTTTTGTTTCACGTTGTTCTGATTACTTTTTGCATGTCGTTTACTAACTTACTTTTCTTCTCACTACATGCATTTTGTTTCATTAAAAAGTTTCCTTTTCAGTTTCGTTTTCCCAGAATGAGGAAGCTTATTTCTAAACCTAACCCGTTCAAAGTTTTATAAAAAGTGTATTTTTTTTTAATCTGATGATATTTTTTAGTCTATGCTGCTAAGCAATGCATTTAAACAATGTTTTAGGTTGTTATGGTGTTTCTGATGTAACCAGTGAATCTAGCACAGTCAGCTCTGCTTCAACAGAGCCATGGTTCTGTGAGGCTTGTAAAGCAGGAGTGAAAGACCCCAATTGTGAACTCTGTCCTAACAAAGGTAAAGAAATAAATATTTATAATAGCAATTACAAATTGTGTATACGTTCATATAATAAAAATTATTTTAACTGAATGGAATACATCATTTGGTTTTTAACTAAAAATAGAGTGTTATAAGCGTTTTGTGGGCATAAGCATATTTTTTTGCACAATGTTCCTGATTATCAGGCAAGGTTTTTGTCTGAACTATAGGGTATTTGACAGTATTAAAAATAAAGTGCCAATTGTTAGCATCTGTGTTTAGAATGAATATTGGCAGGGGATTTTACTATTTTTACAAAAAAAATATTCATAATTTTACTAAACACCCACAAAAAAGATAATAGTTTTCTTATCTATTTTCACATGACCCAAAACGCTTGGGATCGGCGGAGCCTAAAATGACGTCACACGCAAGTAAACTTCCGGTTAAAGTGACATTACATTGCATCATTTGGTCGTCTGACGTCACACACTAGTAAGACGCCATATTGATATTGTCCAGAGAAATATTTTCGCGGCAACTTGAAAATGGAGTTTTTGATTTGGTTATTTTTACTGAAATACACAACAGAATGATGAATATCCACTTTTTACGGACTCTATAAACATTAGGCAATAACATGAGATATTTTTCTAAAACTTGTCAAATATCCTATTCTATAATTGTCAACAGCTTGTTCAGTAAGATGACACAATTGCTGTTAAATCTTGGAACAATGATGTAAACAAAAAGAAAATAAATGTTTATTTCATTTCAATATTTCTATTAACAGGTGGTATATTCAAAGAGACAGAAGTTGGTGCTTGGGTACATCTAGTGTGTGCACTTTATGTACCTGGAGTTGCATTCTCAGAGGTATAATTTGTTTATATTAGTAATTTTAATGTCAGTAAGTGGCCAATATTTGCAATATCACCAGAGTTTTATAAAAGAAGGCTTTTAATATAATTATAATAGGGATGACAACTAACGTTTTTTCTTCCATTATCACAGACTTTCAAAAAGTATTGGAAATATATTTTTTCTTTATTCACATAATCAGAACATTACTGAGATATGTTGATTTGAAATGTAGCGTGACGTCATTTTTTGGTAATATTTTGAACTCCTGATCTTTTGGCTGATTGTCAGAAGAAAAAATTGTGTGTATTATTTTTCGGTAATCTAAGTTACTGACTAAATAGAATTCTGTTTAATTCATCCTGTTGTCACCCCTATAAGCATAATTATGGTAATGATGATCTGAATACTTATATAATCTTTTTACAATTACTTAGGTTGAACGCTTATCTGGAGTCACTCTATTTGAAATGGCATACTCGAGATGGGGTGCCAGATCGTGTGCATTGTGTGACGATACGACTCTTGCACGCACTGGTGTTTGTGTTGGTTGTGATGCAGGCTTGTGCAAGACATTCTTTCATGTCACATGGTAAGAAATATAACTCAAATGCGAAAGTGTGTCCGTTACCCTTTCACATCTAAACCGCTGAACCGATTAAGATGAAATTTGGCATATAGATAGTTTGAGTCCTGGGGACACAGGATAGCTTTTATCCGAAACATTCTTTAAAGGGATTAAAATGAGTGTGGATGTTATTATAAAACAATTTTTTCTATGCAGTATAAGCAGGTACGAACTCACTACAATTATTTTACATTTTCCATACATTCTTGTTTTCACACATTCGTCTTCACTATAATAATAATTATCCGTGTTAAGGATGTGATACCATTTTTTTAATATTACAAATTTATATAAAATTTCATTTTTTTTTTAATATTTTTATTCATGAATTCACTACTTTAATTAACTTTGGATTAGTTGGAAAATGTTCCAAACCTTGAAACGGATCAGAAGTAAGTGAAAATAAGATATTTAATATATATATGTATATATATTATAGATAGGTCCGACAAATGACTCCACCCCACCTGATGTTAAATGATGGTGAAGTCCAGACTTATAGGGATATCTTTGTTTTTTTTTTCTATCGAGTGAAGTAATTCAAATTGTATATTCACTATATGATTTCAGTAGTTAAGAGGCTCAACAATATCATATATTTTTTAAACTCAGTAACAAGAACAACTTTTATAAAAAGCAAATAGACATTTCGTAAACCTGTAACACTTTAATTATTTGTATATTAATATCAGTGGCACCTTATTTTGGTTTATTTTATAGTAATTATATATGTAAATCTGTAGGTTTTCCAAATACAAAAAAATAGAATACAACAGTCCTTAATAATTTTAAAATCAAAGTCTATAATTGTTTGATAGTGGACAACGCGAGGGTCTATTAGCAGAAGCTCATACTGAGGAAGCCGAACAAGCAGACCCATTTTATGCACATTGTCGCCTACATTCTGATAAAGCATTAGTGAAGAAACGTAAAAGGAACTGGCTAGCTTTACAACTGAGAACTGAAAAAAGGTAGGTAAAACATGAAGAATATTAAATTATAATTTGCAGTTTTTTATGCATGTAACTGCTTGATGTTTAAATGTAAAGAAAATATTACTGGAAAAAAACATGTGGACCAGGCAGCAGACGGGACTCGAACCCGCAGCCTTCGCTATCTGGGCGAATGCACTGACCATTATGCTACCGCGGCCCTGATGGCCATGACGAATTCTTTCTAGCCTTCCCTAAGCTGCAAGACAGCGCCACCTCTTCGCATTGTAGGTAACCCATAATTAAATTAATCAAAAATATATTGTTTTAAACTTTCATGGTCAGTAACATTATAGTAATTTATGCTATGCGAGTTTCCGACTTACTCCGAGATTATGGCTCTTGCGACATTGCCGAAATATCGGAAACTCGCTAAAACAAGGTGCATGGTTGCAATCCCATTAATAATATAAATTACAATAATAATAATATACATAAAAATATCCAACAACATAAAAACTTTGTGATATAATGACACTGCAATATAAGTGTGGTATATAAATTCTATTGTTTTGTTGTAGAAAGTTGGAATTGGAAAACAACTTAAGCACGGAAGAAAAGCTTCGAATACAAAGGAAACTTGTCAAATATAGGAGGAAATATCTTCAACAAAAAGAAAACCGTAATCCGCCATGGGGTAAGATTTTTAACTATTCAGTTGTATTCAGTGTAATTTCTGTGTTAATGGTACTGGGTTGGAATCGCAGCGGGGCATTACTGTGTGATAGCACTAAATTTATTTTTAAGTCATGGTTGTACTAATAAAGAAACTAATTAAAAACCATGCAAGACATTCCGTCGGGAATGATGTGCGACAAAGATAGAATATCTTTCGTCGCCATTTCAGATTTTTTTCTTTATTCTCTGTACGTTATTTAATCCAACAGTATTAGCTCTACTTAGTTTGGGAGAAATGTTCTTGATTTGAATTGAAATTGAATGTAATAGTCAATATCAATTTTGTGTTATTTCTTTACTGCATGGATTTACTTCAAATTTGGCACGAATATTATTAAGAAGTCAGGTCAACATATAGGCTACATATTATCACGCTATCACCTACGGGGAACGAGCAGTGAACAGGGGTCAAAAAGTATGTGCAAATAACTAACTCCACGCGTACAAAGTCGCGGGCGGCCGCTAGTGCTGTAATATGCAATAACTATATGTATAAAACTTTTGTTTTTAATATATCTTCCATGATTTATCAGTGCCAACCCAGAAGATGGCTCGAATGTTGTACAGCAGTGCTTCCGCTATGCGCAAGTTTCAGCGTAAAGCTGAGTGTATGGGGATTGACACGCATGCCTTGGAGTTTCAAGATGCTCAGGTAAATAATTTGCACTACAAATACTACAAAAAAGGGGGTAATTCTACCCATTAACAGGAACAACTTTCATGATGGGACCAACTCTGAAATCGCGGGAAAAAATCAGCTGTTTCATACATTTCGGTTGATTAGCTGATGCACTTTTGTATAAAACAGCAGATATTTTTCGCAATTTCAGCGTTGGTCCCATAATAAAAGTTGTTCCTATTGATGGGTAGAATCACCCCCTAAGAGGTTGTTGGTGTTTCTAAATTAACCCTGTATAAGTTCTCATCAACATGGTATTTCAAAAAAGGCAATACTATGATATTACATAATTTTGAAATTGCGAAAGATGCTCTGCCAAGTAAAAGAGTTAGTTTTTTATATTCTTTTTTTAATCATTAAACTGCGGATTTATAATCTAAAGTTTTACTAGAAAAGATTAGACTCTGTTCAGGCATCAGATGGGATTTATTAATCTAGATATGCTTTTAATAAAAAATACAATAAAATGACAAAAATTATAAATGTATTATGACGAGCTCAAGGGCGCAGGTTGTTAGCGCGATCAGCCTGCGTTCGTTCAAGTTAAGCAACTTTCGCAATGGTCAGTCAATGGACGGGTCACCATAAACTTATTACCTTGAGTTCCGCCGTGCTACGGAAGGCACGTTAAGCAATTGGTCCCGGCTGTATCTGCATTCGTTTCCACCAATCCGCGGACACGGCCCAATCTTCCCATTCCATACTTGGGGAAGGCCTGTGCCCCAGCAATGGGGACATTAATAGGCTGATGATGATAATATGTTCTGATTAACGAATTAGAAATAATATGGAAGCATTACTCTAACAAAGGCCGCTAAAGCATGTTTCCAAACTCATACACCGAAACTTCAATACCAACGCGACACGCACATGGTCAAAACAAAATATTTTTACAAATCTAACATCTGCAAATGAATTCGGCTATCCATTATGTAAGATAATGTTAAACGGAAATCTACACCAATCCCATGAATCGGTGTTGAATCCCATTTTGATTGCAGTTTTTTCACCCCGCCCACTTGATTGCAGTTTGCATGGAACCACCTTTTAGCACAGTTCGAATTTTATATTATTTCTAAGTCATTGGTTCTGATGATAGATGGCAGCACTCAAAGATGTGTCTCGCCGTTGGCACGTGCCGCCAGCGTTTTCGGTGGAATTCGTCGGCTATTATCTCGAGAGGAACTCTCGCGTCACTTCATTACGAAAGTCACTTGAACGGCTAACTAAAGAAAACGAGAAGCTGCTCGCTGAAGATGAAGATTTAAGAACCAAGTACGATGAGGTATGGAAAAAACTTGTTTTCGTTTTTGTGATGTTAAAATTAATTTTAGATTGATGATTGGAGAGGAGTTCGATGGCGCAAGTGGTTAGCGCGTTCGTGGTGGTTAAACAACTTTCGTAGAGGTTGGTCATTGTATGGGTGACCAACAAATTTACTACCTATCTTGAGCACTTCCGTGCTTCGAAAGGCACGTTTCGCCGTTGGTGGTGGACTGGACCCGTGTGGTGGTTAATATCCCAATCTTCCTATTCCATCCGTAGTGAAGGCCTGTGCTCCAGCAGTGGGGACATTAATAGGCTGATGAGGCGTATACAAAAAAACATATACAATAGGGATGATGACTATTTTTTTTCTTCGTTTATCAGGTAAATTATCAAAAAGTATTGGACACGTATTTTTTCTTTTTTCACATAATATAAATATCGCAGAGATATATTGATTTGAAAAGTCGCATGGCGTCACGTTTTGGTACAATTTTCACATAAAAGTGACGTCACGAGCCCCTACTCCCAAACTTTGACGCGCTATAACTTTGTCATTTTTTGGTTGATTGCCCAAAGAAAAAAATACGTGTCCATTATTTTTTGATCAACTAACTGATGGACTAAATAGAATTTCGTTTACTGTACCCCGTCATCACCCCTATTCCCAACTACCTGCTTACCTTTAATAATAATAATGATGTACCGTCAATCTGTGGTTGAACTGTGTGTCTTTTTTTACTCTTTTCGCGATCCTTTTTACTTAATACCCCACTTACAATCAGTTGCTGTCATTGCCGTTCACGGAACTTTAAATTACTCTTCAAAATACTACTGTATCAACTTAAAGGAAGACTTGTGGTGGCGTCACATTGCTTACTAATTCGACTAATGACAAAGAAGACTTAGACGTGGTGAGAGTGAGCGGGACAGCAACAGTTGCGCTTGCGCATTCTATGACGTTCACACGAAATTGACAGCGCGAGTGTCTACAAAAATTAAAGTTTACATGTGTACTATGTGTACATTGAATACTCGTAGGTAATGCGATTACCTGTTTTATGTGTCTTCTCTAAGTCATTATCATAAATATTACTATAAAAAACAGGCATCAAAAGAGAACACGGATGCCCTAGCGGAGTTGTCCTCCACCCGTCAAGCGTTACAGAAGATATACGACGTGATCGTAGCCCTTCTTCCCAAAAAGGCGATCCCGGAGATCATGGAAGATAAACCGCTGATGCCTCCCGTCATACAACGCTCTATGCCGAAAGTTACACCACAGCAGTTGCAAAAGCGGTATTTTATATAATTTTATTTAAATTATAACATAGATTCATTTGTTTAAAGGCGCTTCTTTGTAGGGTTCTTTACTGAAAGGTTGGATAAAGGAAACTTGTTACTAAGCCTCCCAAGTTCGTTTGCCTATCAGTGGTTGTATTCATTGACGTATAAAAACAAGTAGCCTCCCAATCGCCTAACAAAAGTGCATCAATAACGATCCAGCGACGTTCTAAGTTAACTTATACCGATAACATTAGCACATTTATGTTCAAATTAACACGTTTAATGTCAATTGTAAACAGTCACAGTAAAGTTTAATGTCAATTGTATTCGAGCGCTAATTTTTAAAGAATACTGTTTGAAAATTACGCACAATAGAATGTGCGTAATTTTGCTACCAATCCTTTTTTAAATGCGATTGTGAGGCGTGTTGTTTTTTTAAGGTTACTGATTGTACGAGTATCGTAACGTTTGTAGGGAATCCTATAGTTTAAGAAATATATTTTTTCCACCGTCTTTGTTCGAGCTCGTATTAAATCTTAGCCTTTATTATACCATATTACTTGTCTGACAAAGTATCGAACTCGGGACCTCAACATGGATAGTTGGCACGTCGAAGTGCTAGTTGATTTTCAATTAAGTTAATTCGTTAATAAAGGAGATTGCTCAGCTTTCATACATGTTTGGCCTAAAGACCAATAATCATGAAAAATTGTTTCCTAGATTCGAAATTATATATAAATTACTGTAGAAACGAATATTATTGACGGACACCCCTGAGAACTTCTATAAACCATATACACTGAACATATTAAAATAATAAAAAACAAAAAAGTTATATAGTAAACTAGGGAAATCAAGCCAAGTACCGAAATTATGGATTAGATTCAGGTATATAGAGCATGTAGATTAACAGATAGTTGCCTGTTTTTAAAGTTAATGCATAAGAGTAACTTTTAAAATCAGGTGTCATTTCCGGTTATAATAAGGTACTCTGTGACAGAAACTGTGTGATGATTGTGAATGAGCCACAGATTAGAGAGCATTTTTATACTCTCGTTAACCAAAGAAAGCTAAGAGATTTAGGTTCTATAGCCATATATTCAGTAGCTTCATTATTTTTGTTATGTTTTTAAGATAACCATATTTTAGATTTTTAGTGTATCACACCTTATAATTTTATTTATTAATTAATTTATAGTCAGGGAACGTAGGCCCATAGATAGATACCTTAAAGTCTAACATATATACAGATTATAATATGTTTATGAAAGTCTTTGGCGAAAAATGTATGGCAATAGACTTTATGATGTCGCCTACCATCTAGAATAATTGTATGAGCACATTTGCATCTAGTGAAAATGATAATATAGTGGTGGATATTAATACCACAGTGTAATAAAAAAAAAATCGATCTTTACAAAATAGATTTGTTTTTATGTTATATAAACAACTTCGATCAGTCTTTGGCTGAATGTTACTACACCCATAGCCATTAAAAATGATTCGTATGTTTTCCAAACCGGTAAAATTTAAAGTCCTTTTTAAAGTAAATATATTATACAAAGGTGTCCGTTGAAATCTAATGACTGTAAATTAAATTATAAAAAACGCCAAGAATTACCGTGTATGTCAATATTTTTTGTGCATTTAGGCCAATTTGAGCAATCTCCTTTAATGCCAAACAACTGCTGAACTTAGGTTAATAAGACAGATATCCAATGCCAGGATCACAACAATTTAGCAGGATCTAGTAGAGAACTGGGGTCATATCATGATTTATCGTGATTTGAGGAAGAGCGATAAAGACCTTGCAAAGCCGGCAAGATGAGTAGTCAACAGTGAATCGATACCACAAAATAGATATTACAGAAGGTAATCTACATACAATGCGTTCGAAGAAAGCACACGTAGACACCGCTAACGAACACGATATCTCGGGCTGCTTGGGACCAGTGCGAGTTCCATCCGCTTTAAACACGCGTCTGCGAACGATTTTGTGCAAAAATGAAGTAACAATAAAAAATATATGATGTCATTTCAGTGGACGGATGTTTGAATGTAGCATTAAACGGTTAAAGGTCGAAACATACTTTTGAAACGCCACCCGCCACGACGCTATGCGACGCGTGTTTTCTATTATCAGTGTGTGCGCATCGCGTCGCGTTGGATGTTTCTAATGTGATTCTGATTATAGAAAATTGTACATTTGATTGAACACGTGCGGCGTGGCGTTGGGTGGCGTGGCGTTTCAGAAGTCCGTCTCGGCTTTTATTGTCGTTTTTTTAATCTGTAACAATACAAAAATATCTATAAAATTTAAACACTTACATTATTATTGGTTTATATTTTCATTCTTCCTGTTTCATTATCCACAATAAACAAATAAAACAACTAGATTCGTACGGTATACGTACGAATCTAGTTGTTTTATTTGTTTGTTACTACCACGATTTTTTTAATGCACAAGCTTTTCTCACAAAGTTGAGAATCCTAGCGCGACCACCGTGCGTAGGTATGAAAAGTGAAGTACACACCTACATGAGATTACCTTCTGTACTATCTATTTTGTGTCGATACGCTTTCTTTTCTACTAGCTCTCCAAATGAAATCTACTCATTATACTTAACATAAGATTCCAAGCATCCAACTTTGTTTATTGTTTTTGCATTGCATTAATTAGTGTTCATGATACGACCCCTGGTGTATATATATTAATATCAAGTTACAAAATACTTGTGATATCATATCAAGCATTGCGGTAAATACCAGTGTGTAATTTAAAGGAATTAGTTATCCTTTTCTAAGTCTAACAATCACACTCAGAGTTATCAATTCATTTTTGGATTTGAGTACAGATGATACTTGCATTTTTATAAGGATAGTACCGGGATTGAGAAACACGTTGCTTTGACAAGCACTAAATTTGATTTACGTTGACGTCATTAACTTGAGGCTACGTTCATCAACATCTTAAATATAAAGCACAGATAACGAAGCTTGCGCAGTAGTAATTCAGCATATAGAAACGTCTACTGCGCATGCTTGTTTGTCAAAGATTGTGTTCAAGATTTTTGCCGCTCTGCATGCTTTGACAAGCATTAAATTGATTGACGTCTCTGAGCGTGACCGTTAGGTAAACTCATTTCTCGTGTGATGTTTTAGAAAGGGTTTTTATTAGTGGCAATATACTTAGGTCAATGTCTGTGCCAACCGCGGCAGCACTTAAGATGGGCGTTGGTTTTCCTCTTAGCGACAATCCGGACGCCCGCCAAGGAAAAGTATTGTCTACTTCATTAGAAGGTAAGCTTTATTGTTATATAAATTGATCATATTTATATTCATTGATAGTTCATTTCCGTTATTGGCGGTGATACTGTCCGTAACAAGCACTAACTTTTAATAGTATTTTAACGTCCTTAGTATATAATTATTTTCTTGAGGCACAAGTAATTGGCGTTTGAAGCGGAGCCCTCGTTTGGGGAAGTACGAAATATTTCATTTACTTGAGCTATCAGGGCTCCATGGGGCAAGGTTTAAGTTCGTTTCGGTAAAAAGAGGGTACTTTTCTGCAGCATCAGCCGCATTTCCAAATGATTTTCTCTTAATTTGTTTACGTTTAAAATCAGACTTTGGCTGAATTAGCTGTGCTTCGTTTGGTAAAAAATAAGCTTGAAAACATTTCATAAATGTATAATTTATTATATTTTAATTTAGGGCTACTTACATCAACATTCTTAAATCTTGTTCAACACATAATTCCTTCTTAGTCATTTGTTAAAAGTCAAATAGAGATAGATCAAAGTTTAATCATAATTTGATTAGCTTTGAAATTTGGTTTAAGTTCTTAGAGTTCATATTAGACACTTACGGGATAGGTGGGATGAAATAATTTGCTAAAACTTTTATGAAAGAATTGGTGTCCTGATATGTGTCAGCAACTACGGGCGCCCTAGCGGCCCGTAAGTACGCCAACAAATAATTCTTTCAAAATGCTAAACTGAAGGTTAAATTTAGAGAAGTTCAAATAAGCTCTTTTAATGAAAGAATTAGTGAATAGTCGTGATATGTGCCAGCAACCACTGGCATTGGTTAGGGACGTTTTATACTCGAATTTTAGGTTACGAGTGCGCCACTAAAGCAGACAAAGAATAATTTTAAAATGGTAAAGAAGGGTTAACTCAAAGGAGTTCTGTTGATACAATCGAGGGGACAGGCGGCATGTTGAAATTTGCTAGGTCTACTATAAATGGAATACGAAATGCGCTATAAAGTGGTTTCACGCAAACTGCGATCAAGTGGGCGGGGCTAAAAATGTGATCAACACGCCGTTAATGAATTATAACCCAATGAATGGATAACTGAATTCATTTGCAGATATTTGATTTTTCAAATTATTTTGTTAGTCGTGTCGCCTTAGTATATTTAGCTGTATGAGTTTGGAACCATGTTTTAGCGACTTTTGTTAGAGAGAATAATACTTCCTGATAATTTCTAATTCGTTGGTCTACTATGAAAAATTTGCGAATTTGTGCCAGCAACAACTGGTGCCTTAGCGGCCCGCGAATGCGCCGTATGCGGTAGAAGCAGCGAGCGTCATCTGATGGCTGCTTGCGACACTTGCAGACACCACTACCATCTGCATTGCTTGAAACCGCCGCTACAACGACCGCCTAAGAAGAGTAAACTCTATGGCTGGTATGTGCTCTATTTCAGTGTAACATTGATTATAGTTTCCTTTCATTTCATTTCATGGTTGGTCCTGCGGGGCCAGAAAAGATAAATAAGATAAAGATAATAATAATATTTATTTAACAATTTAACAAGATAAAATGATACATTAACATTAGTTGTATAATGTGCAAAAAAATCGCTGATTTAGGTATTGCCATATCCGTAACTTTTGGTAATTTTTGTGGTAAATTTAGTGCTTTTATTAAGTAGTCAATGGTGTCGATTCTGCCAAAATTATCTAAACTGAAAACTAAACTAGCAAACCAGTGAACCAAATGTTCACCAAAAAAAAATGTATTTAATTAATTGAGAACTTCGGAAATTTTGTGTGGTTTCGTTTGAAATAGAAATCACGTGATTTCTCGAAAACCGGAAGTGCTACGTTACTCACATCCGGTTTGTAGTCTTATCAGACTATTCTTAACTTATAACTTAAACATTCTCTATATCTATCTCTTACGGTTTGGCCGCTGAAACAGCACCACGGACGAACGGACGGACTTGTCTAATAGATAAGAGATTTAACATCAGTATCGCCTAATTAATTCTGTATAGAGAATGACAAGGATATACTGTTGTCAAATTTAATTTTAGTTTTATGAGAATCATGCCAGAATCGAAAGTAGTAATACATCAGTTATCAGTGCGATTTTCATTTGATTCCACTGGTCATTAGTAAACGTTATACTGATGCGCTACAGACTTTTTTGAATTTTCATACAGGCAATGTTCCGAATGCGATAAAACATCAGATTCCGAACCGGAACTGTTAGAGAAGAAGGTGCCTCGTAGATCGCGTATCCGTTACAGTAAGGATGGCGCTATCATCAACGAGCCACAAAGCCCCGGTTCCGTTCCCAGTTCGCCACCGCCGAAACCGAAATCGGAAAAACCTCACAAGGATAAATCCATGAAACTCGTAACAACAGAAAACTTATCCCCGATCAAAGTGACCATCAAGCCTTTCGAATTCAGCAGCGAGAACGAAAGTAGCGAGATCAAAAAGAAAGACAAGAAAATCAAGAAGCAGAAACAGAAAGAGCACGCTAGTAGTTCCGCGGGCGAGAACGAATCGCCATCCAAGAAACTGAAACGCAGCTTCACTTCTCCGACACTTACGAACACTCCCCTGATGTCTATTACGCCAATCGTGGCCGACAGTCCTAACGACTCTCACAACGAAAACTCCAATGCTTCAACCAACTTACCACCTCTGAAGCGAGACGAGACCGTACAGAATCTATCGTTCTCGTCTCTTCTAACCGAAACGAAAGAGAGAGACAGCAAAGCGATCGAGAGTTCAATTGAGAGCACACTCGCGAATCTCTCGTCCGATATCGCTACGTACAAAGCGAATAGGAAGAGAAGGAAGGAGAAACACAGGTCGAGATACTCGCCGGAGCTGCTGCGGTCTCCCTCTAAATCTCACAAACACAAACGAAAGAAGAATCGCCAAGATATGGAAAACCCAGATATGCCTCATCCAAGAATCACAATCAAGGTAAAAGAGTTGGTTGCTTTTCCTTGCATTTTTTTAAATATTCTTAGTGATGATGACAATTGCTTTTCTTGCCCTATCAGGTAGGTTATTAAAAAGTATTGGACACTATCTTTTTTTATTCACGTAATCAAAGCAATATAAAGATAAGTTGGTTTGAAATATCACATGACGTTACGGCATGGTACAATTTTTACTTAGAAGTGACGTCACGAGCCTCCACTCCCAAACTTTAACGCGTCTTATCTTTGTAATTTTTTGGTTGATTCTCAAAAGACAAAAAATTTGTCTTATTTTTTGTAAATCTAACTGGCATTCTTAATATAATTTCGTGTTCTCTTATAATGTTTACTGATTTTTATAGTGACAAGGTTTATAATATACGAACTATAACCCTTGGTTATAAATTTATTGATGCAATCTTTGTTTCAGATCAAACCAATTCCAAAGCCTGATGGTTCTTTAGACACTCAAATGTTTTACGTACCAACTAACAGCAACGATGGCCCTCCACCAGCAATTATAAAGAAAATTGCGAAGGTATAGTCCATAAGTATTATTTAAGTAAATAAAGAATACACTGATTTGCATTTTGATTGATTTGATTTGCATCATAATGCAGCTAATTTTTGTGGTAGATTTAAATAAGTATACATTCACTGACAGTAAGAGATTAATTAAATCCTTCTGGATAAATCAAAGTAACATATTTCCAATAACAGCTCGTTCTAAGCTACAATATACAAGTAGTATACAATCCTTATAGTACGACTTGTCACCACACAGTACGTCATGTCATGTTACCATAGTAGAATGTTGATATTCCGCGATGAATAAAATTGTGAATGTTGAACTGAGGCGCTAAGGTTGAAAATCTATTAAACAATTTTAAGTTTTGAATAGCCTTAAATTTTCGAGTTTCAATGCCTAGAATTTAAACTAGTTGGCTAGAATATCATTAAAGGTTTCATTTGGGTTACAGATACCATTCAAATGCTTCGGTGATGTTATGATGACAAAACTTATTTTATTATTTCTTTTGTTAAGCACTCGGAACATGAAGCACCCAAAGAAACTCCCCCCTTAGAACTGATCAATCCTGTCGTGGCAATTGAAACTACACCTCTCAGTGTGAGTACTTTTTTATTGCTATTTATTTCTTTAGCAAACAATACTTATTAAAAATACATCACTTATTTTGTTCCTATTTATTCACATATAACATTAAATTGGAATTACAGTACATAACTTTTATAATTATTAGTTAAATACAATATTCGCAAATTGATTACAATATTGAGCAAAGCGTCATCTATTTTTTTCTTTTATTTCCTCATAGTAAAAGAATCTGAAAAATTTACGAAGTTAAGATGGAATGTTTGAAAAATAAATTTGTTAATGCTATGCCCTCTTTCTATCTTGAGAGAGAAAGAGAGAGAGAGAGAAATAACACGATTGATGATGTCAAACAGCATAGATTTATTTGTTGGTCAGCTATTTAACTACTTATTATATAACTACCTATTTAACTTCTACTACTCTCCTACTGCAAAGTTTTTCATAGCTTGAAAAACATGCTTTATCTTTATGTATAAAATATCACTCAAATAGATAACAAATTCTTGCAAGCCACCTGTAAACCCGGATGAGAAACAACCAGCACCTACTATCACGAAACCTACGGTAAGATCAGCTTTTGTAAATAAAAAAAAAACTTGCTTATTTTATTCATGAACAGGAGAAAACAAAGTACAAATGGCGTCCGTGTTTATCCGCAATTTTCACAAATAAACATGCGAAACAATGACATGTGCGCTATAAAACAAAAACCAATATGGGTTGACGGCATTTGCAAATGTTATGGAAATCGTGTTTGCACCATGACGGGAATGCAAATAGATGCTGCATTTTATAACGAGATATTCGCTATCGGTGCGAGTTTTGTCTTTTCACGTGGGCTTTATCGTAGCTATGTTTTTTTTTGTTTCAAACATGAGCTGATCCAATGTTATAGTTGCAATATTACAGAGAATTAGTTTACAAAGGGGTTTGTGCTTAAAAATACAATGGGGATTTTGCGAAGAGACGCGCATGATAAACTCGCTACGTTAATCGGCTTATGTACCGCGCGGAAAAAAACTAGCTTTTAACCGCATTAAAGTTTCGCAGTTTCTTTTGATTTTGAATTAACATTTGTGAGTGCATTGTCTTTGGTTTTTCTATAATAATAATAATTTCAATCAAAAAAGGGAAGATTTATCAATATGTTAGGTTTGGGAAAAAGTTTCGTCGCATTTTAAATGAAATTTCAAAACTATTTTGAATAAAGGTATATTTACATTTAACTAAAGTATGTAGGTGCCATTTTATTCGATATTTTTTGCCATCTTGTAGGTAGGGACATGATCCCATTGCTATAGACATTTTGGGGTTTCTGATCTAAAAACCGCCACAATTTTGGCAGTCCCCTCATGATGCTAACCTGACACTGCCTAAAAAAAATCTGAAGACCGAAACAGGTGGAAATCTGAAGGTCAGGTCTATACGGCGGAGGCATTAAGACCTCCCAGTCAAACTCTTAATTTTTGCTGAGTGGCTAAATATGTGTGGGGTCTAGCGTTATCATGATGAAAAACCACACCCTTTCTGTTGATTAATTCCGGCCGCTTTCTCCCAACTTTCTCATTGATAGAGTAGAGTAGAGTTCAGAATCGATGGTCTAATATTATAAAGAGGAAAGATTTGATTGTTTGTTTGTATTGAAAAGGGTCCGAAACTAGTGGACCGATCCGAAAAAATCTTTCACATATAGAATCCTTCATTATCCGTGTTAAACATAGGCTATAGAGTATATTCAAAAAAGTTAGGGTTCCGTATGAAAACTTCGATAATGTAACTCAACGTGTATAAAATGCATGCATACAATGTGGAAGTCATTGACCATAGAGCAAAATGATGTACTGAAGTTTTATAGAGGTCATCAATATCTACAAAAAAATCCGCCATGTCTAACTATCACAGATATGCCACTACTAGAGGTTCCCTGCGGTTTCAGCCGCGTTAATTTGAAGAAAAAGTATATAGTGAGTCAAACTTAAAATATGGACATATGCTGTCGCGGACTTTTTTACAGAACTTTTAAAGGGGAACAATTCCGTTATTTTTGTGTAAATTTAACCGGTTATCCAGCGCACGCAACGGAATCCCACAAATGGAATATTTTTACCCGCTTAAGCAACATTTTTCATCGATGCTCCGATGCTACTAGTCGTAGCTAGCTAGTAGTTTTTATAAAGCCTTTAGCTTTCCTCGATAAATGTACTATCCAATACAAAAATATTTTTTCAAATCAAAGCAACGTTGCATTCGGTACAACGGGTCCTAAACTACGCAACAATTTACTTGGAATGGAGGGTATCAGGGAGGTATAACGGAGGGTATAAGGATTATATTATTATGAAGAAAGTCATTGTGTATAATACAAGCCTTTGAACAAAAACTAGTCTACTTTACAGCCCTACACCGAAGCGAAGCGAGGGCGGGCTACTAGTTATGAAAATATACACACAGCATCACCTTGTTGCGAGTTAACCCGGGTTTCGCCAAAGTCTGTGAAGCCTCACCGGCCTTTGACGTTCTTGCCGTACGTGATCCACTTTTCATCACCAGTTATCAGCTTCTTCAAAAATGGTTCGGGTAAATTACGTCGTAATAAAGAATCACAAATGAGTACACGATGCATTAGATTTATTTCAGTGAGCTCGTGAGGCACCCAAATATTGAGCTTCTTTGTATACCCAGCTTTTTTCAAATGCGCCAAAACTGTTTTGTAGTCGATTCTCAGTTCTTCAGCTGCTTCGTAACTACTAATATGCCGATCTTGCTCCACATTTTCAAAAATGCCATCCATTTTATCCGTAACAGGTCGCCCAGAGCGACGTGTACATAAACATTTTCGGATTGAAAACCTTTAAGCCAAATTTGTGCTACTTACTCTCACAGACACTGCACTAGGTTAATAAAAGGTTAATAAACACCACAATTTTTTTTCGCGGCTTGCGTTGCATTTTTACCTTTTTTGTAGTAAAATTTTAAAATATATCGAATTTCTTCATTAAATTCACTCATCTCGACAGTAAGAAAAACAAATGAAAATCACACATTTTTCAAATTTGAATTTGGAATTATCTTCTTTAAAATTTAAACTTTGATACCAACACCAGCCGGACGCAAATCGTACAGCCAAAGAGATTTTATTACAAGTCCATACATACTATAATGCATAAAGACCTTTTTCCCAACCTATTATTAAATATTTCATGTTTAGTCACCCACATATCAAGTTACATAAATTTTTATTATTTATCGATTATGAGTTGTTAAAGAAGCTAAGTTGGAGAAATCAAATCAATTTACACACATTTACTGATATATTTTCAAAATTTAACTTAATCAAGAGAAAATGTTTACGGTATAGATTTTTTTAATAAAATATACATTTTCTGAAATTAAAAAATTAAACTAATTTTATTTTTTAGTATAAAAAATTTAATAATTCAATCCTAAGGCGATTGTAATAGAACTTTAATAGAAATAAAAAGATAGTTTTACCAAACTTCAAAACCTTTTATTAATAAATTGTTGTTTATCTAAATACAAAATAATTCCTCCTCTGACTCGTACACATGCGGAGATCCTCCTGGGCATGCTGAGGATCAAGTTATTCAGCATTTCTTGTGGTAACCTGTCCCATTCTTGAACAGCAGCTTCCCTGAGCTGCGGCACTGTCTGGGGTCGTGGCTGCCGGTTCCAAACAGCTCGCTTAAGAGCATTCCACGCGTGCTCTATTGGGTTTAAGTCAGGAGAGCCGGCAGGCCAGTCTAACATTGTGATTTCGTATTCTCGGAGAGCAGCATTGACTCGTTGAGCTCGATGTGCGGGCGCATTATCGTCAACCAGTACAAATTGGTGCCCATGGTTTACTCGGAAAGGTGTGACGATTCCATCAATAGCGACTGTTTTGTATCTGTCTGCCGTCATGAAGCCCTAATAAGAGATTAAAGGCGTTCTAGCTCCAATCATAATTCCACCCCAATAGGACACTGATTTCCTGCCTTGCTGAACCGTTCCAGTGGCCGTTCTTTGCTTTTCAGAGTCTCCAGGTCTTCTCCAAACACGGACACGTCGGTTATCTGGATGAGTACTGATTCGCGATTCGTCAACGACAAGGCAGTTTTGCCAAATGTTTTCCTTTTCGTCTTCTTCGTTTTGCCGGAGCCTAGCCCACTGTAATAAGTCGCTGACGTTCCCGTGAATTCAAAGGTGCTCGCTAAGACCTCCGTGCTCGTAATCCAGCCTTGTGTAAGCAATTCTGAATGGTCTGAGTACTATCTTCAAATCCGGAGGCGCCCCGAATTTCTGCGTTTAATTTAGTGGCGTTTATTGTTGGGTCGCGGGCTACCAGCAACCAGATATAGCGCTTGTGAGCAGCTGTGAAAACAGTTCGGCGACCGCTGTGGGTTCGATCAGCTAAATTACCCATGCAGTGGTACCTCTGCAACGTGGTTACTACACAGGATTGGGATATGGCAACTCTGCGTGCTATTTCTATCGTAGAATAGCCTTCTTCCCTCAAAGTTATAATTCTGGTTCGTAAAACATCTGATAATCTTCGTGGCATTTTTTAAATCACAACTTTCCGTGAAAAAATATTTTAAATTCGATAATATTGACTAAGTCAGATTTCTGAATGAGAGTCAGCTTGGATTGCATGTCTTTTTATATGGAAAAACAATTGAATTATTTTATTTTTTACGTTCTAATTTGAATTAAGAATCTTATCAGAAAAAGAAATTACAAAAAAGTCTTCTGTAACACAAAAAAAAACAATCTATTTTTCAAAGTGATCGCAAACTTTTTGATGTGTGTATGTACTGCTTTTCATATTATTTCACATTTAAAAATATCCTTTTTGACTTCGAGTATAATTAAACTTCAAGTATAATAAATATATAAAAAATTTAGAGTCTCAAATTAAAATGAATCGCGGCGCTCGCGGCGGCTGTGAAGTTAGCGCATAAGTTGCGGCGCAGTAAACGAATGAAGGATGATTTAGGTACAGTGCGATCAGAATCTTGTGGCACGTGGCCGAAATAGGAACTAATTTTAAGAAGGTTTAAATAAGCCTTTTATATTTTTTAGTTGCTGTCCCAGCGAACTTCGTACCGCTATAAAAAAATAGGTTTTTTAGTTTTTTCTTCTACCACCAAGTAGAAGGGTGAAAACTAAAATAAAAGAATAAAAACAAAAAAAAAGACCCAAAAAAAACAAAATTTAAGGATAGACTACCCTTAATATTTAGGGGGAAAAATAGTTGTTGTCCGGTTCTCAGACCTACTGAATATGCATATAAAATTTCACGATAATCGGTCGGCCGTTTCGGAGTAGTTCAATCACGCACACAGTGACACGAGAATTTTATATATTAGATTAATCGTTCCGAGTTATATTATAAAATTTAAAGTACCTCGCACTAAACCTATCCCATTTGTTTGGTGGGAGTTATAGGTGTTTATTTATGTTGATATAGCGCGCGCGTACGTCCCGTGTACGTCGCACGACCGGCAGCGAGACAGTATCGCCCGCGATGGCGAAGACCCCCATGACCCATTGCGACGTATGCACACAACCAGGCGATACCACTAACCTCGTTAGGTAAGTTAAGCAATCTTGACAGGATAACATACAAATCATACATCATGTTCATTAGCCTACTGATGTTGAGGCTTGGTTCTTCCTCATGCAAAGTAGTTAAATACACATCATACATCACTTACACATCACACATAATTTGAAGCGAGCAAGCCTGCAGCTGTGCGGACTGGTGGGCGCTAACAATAGATACCTAATGCAGCTGTAGGACCAACGCAAAAAAGCATTTTTGCAGGCCGGCAAGGTGAGGATGGTTGGTGTGGCAATTTATAACTGCTGTACCAGCTATCTTCGCGTTTGGACTTTATCAGGGTAGTCATTTGCCTACCTGGCTATAAAAAAAACTACCTTGTAAGTGTCATGCACGAATTCGTTTTATGTAAAAATGAAAAAGTTTGTATAATTGATTAAATCACTCAAACAAAGTTATGGTTTATAATATTTTTTAAACATACAAAACTAAATTTAGATTTTCCTGCCTTACTGTTTGTACACTCACTCTTATTTACTATAAAATAGAGTTTAAATTTGTTCAAATCCCATGACGCCAGTTTACAAAATCTACACGTTATTGCGATAGACACAACTCGCTGAATGTTTATGACTGTGTACCTATTGATTATTCGTAAATGCGATTTAATTAAATGACTCAAACAAAGTTATGGTTAATATATATTTTTTTTTTATACTGAACCAAAACATGGTTTTTCTGCCTTACCGGTTTTTACATACACTCTAACTACTCTAACATAAAGTTTAATTTCGTTCAAATCACACGATACGAATTGACAAAGTTTACACATTTTTGCGATAGACACTGCTCGCCGAGTGTTTATGACTGTGTATCTATTGATTGTGCGTAGATGCGACGAGTGCTTCAAGAGGTACCACTTCACCTGCTTAGAGCCACCCCTCAACAAGAACCCCAAGATGCGCGGCTACTCGTGGCATTGCGCTGATTGCGACCCCACCGTAAGTGTTCTGTATCGACAACTCATCTTTGCGATTAAAAATTACCACACAGGTTTTGTATACCTACGTGTTTTCATGGAGAACTTCTCAATTGGTTAGATTTTATAAGAAAAATAGTAAGATATAACGAGACTTTTTTGAGAACCGTATCTCAAAAGAAAATACCGTTATAGTTTCTTTGTTGTCCGCCTTTCTGTCTTGTTGACCCTTTATTTCGGGAACGCTTGGAGGTATAGAGTTTAAATTTATATTCAATTTTACGGTCCCTTGAAGAAAAAATAAACTTCAAAGTATCAGTAAAAAAAAGATGCAGCCGTTTATGTTCCGTTCCTAGAAATTTGTACGGAACCTTCGGTAGCCGAGTCCGATTCGTACTTGACCGTTTTTTTTAAATCTAAAGAATACTTACTACAATAATTTCATTTTTTTTTCTTATTTTTTTATTGTTAGTAATTTACCCTAACAAATTCAATTCTCAGAATAATGTAGTATATATGTACTAACATTTCTGAATCTTTCTTTGTTAAAATTATAAAAAGGAATGATTTGTACGTTTCTAACGAATGTACTGAAAACTACTGGATCTATTTTA